ATGTGTGTTTCAATATTTAGTTGCCTTGCCCAGCGATTCTTCATTCTGGATGTCGTTTTGGCTCTCCGTGTCGCATTCCGGCCAAAACGTTGCAGATGTGCTGTTGAAGTGGCCCCATGAAACCTGCCCAAGTGCTTGCGCAGACACGTGGCGTAGCGGTGCAGTACTATCCAGTCTTATCACTTGTCTATGCAAAGTTTATGACATGCGCTTGGGCTGGCCTGTAGTGTGCGGGTCTCACTGGTTGCAAGTAGATGTTGGAAGCGCTGTATCTGCACTACATGGTTCCTGCCTACTTCACAGAGCCAAAGGTCGAGCATTGGGGCAGCCGCGCTTTGCGCGATTTCCTGGGCTTCTGAGGATTGGGTCAGGTGCAGCGTCAGGCATTTATGCGGGAAAAGTTGTTTTGCCAAATGTCTTGCCAGGGCACGTGCAGATCCGCCGCTTTGTGAGCACGATGTTCGCTGTATCCTCGGGCTCAGGTGCCACTTAATGCCGTGGAAAGGTAGTTGAAACAGGTTGTGCAAGTCATGAGTCATGAGCACATGCTGCTATGAGAATGAGCAATCCGTTTCAGCAGGTCGGCTGACTTGGTAGCTCAGCTCCGACCGGATCCGTTGCACCCATGGGAGAAGGCAAGTGCTCGAAACAAAACGTACTAAAAGCTTCACAAAGGCACTGAAGGCCCCCTCTGAATGTTTTGCTTAGGGCTTGGGAGACAGGCACCTCCCGAGCTTCACCGCTGTGGGGTCGCCTGGGCAGATCTGCAAGTCGATGGCAACGGGCTTTCCGTGCCGATGGGGCCTATGCCCCTGAACGCCTCCAAGGCCGCAATTTCTTCAAGCTGATGTTTGGATTGGTGTGTGATTGGCATTGTGCTTGGAGTTGCTCAGTCCTCTGCCGCGGGCAGCTTTGAACTACTCGCGCAGGCCTGCCGTCAGAGCCCTGAGCAATGAGCAACAGCTTCGGAGCACGTGTTTGTCAAGCAAGAGTGTGCCGATGTAGACTGTGATCCTCTAAACGAAGGTGCTGCCATGTTGGTGTCCGTGGGTGCGGCTACCGCCCCAGCTATTCATTTCCCAGCAGTAATCTTGAAAGAGGTCGGGCCACTGAGCTTCCAGATCCTGCTTCAAGGCTTTCTGCTTGACGAGCCTCGCATGCACATCGCTCCAAGTCCACAGGTACAGGCAGCGTTGATGTCTGGAATCAGTATCCTTGTAGCTGGTAGGACATGTCTTTTCATCAACGTCAGCCACCTGGTTTGAAGGTCACTGGAGCGTTTGGCGGTCGCGCTGCTTCTGGGCCACGTCGTCATGGCCTGCGGAGCGCTTCTGGTGTTGGCCACCTGGTGCGCTGTTCGGGTGAAGTGGGGGCCCTGGAGCCTTCAGCCGACCGTTGTCATCGCTGTCGCCTCTTCTGCCTCCGTCGATTCTTTTTAAACCAATGAGGCCATGGATCGCACAGATCCTCTTTGTTACAACTGGGGGCCAGGCCGCAATTTGGCCGCACCATCTCGAGGCCTCCACCGGGTAAGGATTCGAAGAACCTCATTTTCCTCCATTGCCTTTGGCATGATATCCCGGAATATCCCGGACAATCTTCCTTAACATGTCAAGTTGGCATTCGCTTGCTCAGACCACTCGGGAGGTCTTGCCAGGGCCTGCTGCCATCTGTTTCGGATTGGCAGGGTTGCTGAGCTTTGGCGCCTCGCTGCTTCTCATTGGCCGGCAGGACTGCGACCATACTTACCACGACGTACTGCTTTTTCGATCGCGTCACACGAGCTACATGTGCCGTGAGATCGTCGTTGCCCTGGAAAAAAACAACGCAGAATCTCCCTGTAGAGCGCAGCTTGAGACACAGCAAGTAGATGGGCGTCCCGCAGGAGTTGCCGGATGGGGATGCGGCTCAGGCTGCCGACGCCACCGTAAACTCTAAGATATCTCACTCTTAACTCGGTGCTCCAGTTTTTGACATTGGTGAAGAAATAGGGAACAATTAGGCCCATTAGGGGGGTTGACTGCAACAAGGTCTGGGAGCTGAAGCCGGAGCCGGCCGAGCCGGCCGAGCCGGCCCCAGGGCCCAGAGAGCCGAGCAAGGCCCGGAGAATCCCCTTAACAAACAAGGAGAGCTAGAGACAATGCATCAGGCATCACTGCCAATGTCGGCCTTGCTTTGCGGTTGAGCCTCCCTGAGCGGCTTCTGTCAAATCGAAGCCGATGCTCATTTCAACTGTGCTTCGGGCGAAACATTTTCTTGCAGGATAAGCTTGTTCGACTCGTGGTGGCTGCCACAGCTGCTTTTGTGTTTCTGTCGAATGCCTTTGTCTGAGCAGCAACACGCCTCTGCTTGAGGCGCAGAGACGACGAGAGATAGTCCACGACCAGTTGCGATGGGTGTCTCGCAGAGAATCTGCACAAGTTCCGCTGTTCGCAGGAGATGGGTATTCCGATGCAGTTACGTTCCGGTATGTACCAGTCATCAGACGATTCAAAGATATCCCTGAGGCCGATGCTTTGCTGGTGGGCCAGTGCCTTGAATTGCCATGTCGCGCTTACCTTCCGGCACCTTCCGCCGACTAGACATCTTGTGACAGCCACTGCGGTGGCCTGCAATCAATCTTTCAGTGGTGCTTCTGACCGGTGATTTCCTGTGAGGCTGTGCAGCTTGCTTTGCCGTGCTTCTGCTTTCTAGCCTTTGGGTCGTGGGCGAGGGCCTCAGAGCCTTGGCTTCGCGTTTGCCGATGTCATACTGCGATGCCGGCGATACCCAGGCCAAAAGGCAGTCGACCTAGGAGCTTCCCACCCAGCTTTGGTTTCCTCAGTGGCCATGATGCAAGGTCCGGAGCCTCCGCAACTCCATGCTTCCTTTCACTTTGTTTCTGAGGTGAAGGATGCCTTAAACAAGCCAACCTGGAGACGTGGGAGGCAGGGACACTTGAATGTGGACGTAGATTTTCCGCATGCCAGAAGCAGCCGAAGCCATTCTAGTTAGTATCAGGTACCCCGGCGGCATTCCATGGCACCCTGAAGACTACCGGGAGGCGACGCTGGACTGTCTTGGAGTGCCTTGCTTCTTCCGTGTGGAGGGGTCCATTGTCGAGACAGGCCTGGCGTGATGTGAAAGCCGCCGGTATATGTGCAGGCCTCAGAAGGCTTGAGAAGGCCTGAGAAGGCCTCAGGAGGCCTCAAACAGTGTTTTCTACAACGAAGGGAGAGCTGTTTGGTTGACCCGATCTCAAGGTACTGGAATTCGAACTGCCATCAAGATCGACGACTTTCGCAAGTCTGCCAGACACATAGCTCATCACAGCTCTTTCGGTCTCTGCTTGTCTGCCAGTTCGGCCAGTTTCTGCAGACATATTGCAGAAGTTAGCGCTTTCAGGGAAGGAGCAGCCAGTATCGAAAAATGAAATGCAGGGTTTATAGCTTGTCTCCATCCCAGGTGCAGCGCCACGCGGATGAAACTGCGCAGCAGCTGAAGAAGCGGTTCAGAAGCGAACGCCTCGACTCCACTGAGGAAGGCGGCTGAGGCAAAGTCTGATGATCAGTAAATTCTGACAGATGGAGACTGGCAAGTGGGATGCTATGTTTTGCCATGAACTTAGTGCACATGTTTGCTTACAAAATGCCTCGTAGTACTTTATCGTTTGTTGTACCCTAAGGGTAGTTACATGGTCCCTTAACATGGTCCTTTACCTTCTTGAAAGGGCTCCGAAGTATGGGCCCTTGGGTTTTATAGGGTAGATCAGGGGTATACAAGGGGTTCCATTAAGGGCCCATGTAACTACCCCTAGAACATCTGTAGTGAATCCATGTCACCAGGGTGCATACCCTTCTCCAAGACATGACTTGCGGAGTCGCGAGACATTAAAAGAGTAGAGCGAAACTGTGCGGGAGCCATTCCTTCTTCTTTGATCTCCCACCCATGAGGCACCCTCCAGGTTCACAGCCTAGATGAATAGGTGAAAGATACTCTCCCGTGTGCGATGCAATGCGGCCTATCAGGTACGAGGAGTTTGTGGAAACAGTCCTGAAAGCGAATCATCGGAACTGGACTTACCATACTTGGGTCATGATGGATCATGCATGCAGGTTTTGAAGGTCTTCTCCATTTGTGTTGCCCAGGAAATGCCTGCTGGATTGGCAAGAAGCAGCCGAAGTGCTTGAACAGCAATCTTCTCATCGTGACCATGTGACCTCATGCCGAACTGTAGCAACTCACTAGACTGCCCATGTCAGGCTATTTGACTGCACATGTTTTTGAATCATATGGCATCTGGCGCATGTGAGTGATCCTCACTTAGGTGCAAAGATCTGCGACAAAACATTTCAATGCTTATCAAGGACCCGCGTGGACAGCTTTGATGTGGCGGTGCCTGTTTCTTTCAGACCCAGATAGAAAGTGATTGCTAAGCAGGAAGACATCTCAGAGCTGGAGACTAGCGTCGAACTGGGCTGCCAGCTGGGACTTACGCCAGAAGTGAGTTCGTGAGCTCCATGTGCTTCACATTCCTTAGGTACGCCTGTTGACATAAGATTCTTTGGAAAAGGTGAAACAGGGGCGGTTTCCAAGAAATGTGCCCAAATTTGCACAGTCCGAGGCTACATCAGGTGCCAAATGCTTCTGTGTCATGTTTCAATGAGGTTCTTCGTCAAGGCGCTGGTTCCCGACACCAGCTGCATCTTTGTCGACATAGGCGCCGCCAAGATGTTCACTCAGAGTTCGCTCCACTGCAAGGGATAGAGTGTCCTTGCACATCGTTGATAGCAGAGATCTTGAAGTTCCTCTATAGACGCTATAGGTGCAACGTAGCGCAATCTGTAATCAGAAGAGGATCCAGTTATCTTGTTGCCAGGCCTGAACTTCAGGCTTGAGATGCCGCTGGCTGAAGCAGAAGCATTCCTTGAAGACAAGGCCTGAGACCAAGACGAAAGAAAAACTTGCAGCGCAGGTGGCATTTAGTTGCCATGCCCAATGGCTTCTGGTTAAACCGGTGTGGCAGGAGAAGCATCTTTGCAATGGCTTGGAGTTGAAGAGCAAGCAGGTTGCCAAAGTGAAGGCAAGCTGGCGTGGCACTTCAGTTGCTCGACCCGCCATAATGCAGACCCCGTTCAGAAGGTCTAGAGATAGATAACTTTGCCTTGCGAGTGTACCGCCTCATGTGCCCATACTGCAGAACCACATGTTGCCGAAAAGCCTCAGATTTTCTACACAACTGTGGACGGAATTGGTGTGCTGTGCAATGCTGGCCGTGGAAAGGCGGATATCCATGAGGCCTTGCACCTTATTGACTTGATGACCAGTCTCCAGTCCGATCCTCATGATTTTTTCTTCCGTAGGTGCGTCGAGTTGTCTATGCCCTTGGGGGTGACAAGATGTGTTTCTTCTTGGTGTTGTTGTTGACATGCTATTTTAGCTCATCCGTGGTTCGATGTTGGAGAGCTGGCCACTGTTACCCAGGCATGGCCAAAGCAGCGAGACGATGCAGTCACGGCAAAAAAAAACGGGCGTGTCTGAAAGCACGAAAGCTTGTCCCCTGAGAGTTGAGGCGCCCAAACTCTGAAGGCCTCTTCGGAAATGCCCCCAGGCTGTCCGTGGGCCCTTGAGTACCACAGTGCGTGCCTGCTACGCTGGTCCTTTGCTCAATGCAGCCAGATGAACTCCTGGCCACACCTGCCAATTCAAGATGCAAGATGGTTCTCACGAAGAGCGAGCTGTTCCGTGCAAGCAGTTCAGATGCTAATCATCAGACCCATGTTGCTCGCTTTGATCGGCAGAGTAAGGTACCACAAGACGCCATGGATTGAAGCAACAGCTCTTCTTAACCACGCTACTCTATTTGCAGCTCTTGTTCTGGCCATGGCGACCGTTGCCTGGATGCCCAGCCAGCCCGAGGCAAATACTGCTTTCCGTCCAGGACAGCTGCTAAAGATCTGCAGACGTGACTTGCTGCTGCTGCTGCTGCCCCTGCTGCAGCCCACCAGGAAGTGTCTCTCCTCGACAGCAGTCTCAGGTTTGGAGCTCGGGCTCTTCATCTTACATCATGTAACCAAACCAGTCTAGATTCACTACGAGGGCTGGGGTTGTTCGGATGCGCAGGCTTGCTCAAAGTGCGGGAGCATTTTGACATCTGATGCCATCTACTGCCGACATTGTGGTCACAAGCGCGATGTACCTATGCTTGATTTGTGGCATGTGGTGGTCAGTCCAACATGTTGCCATATCAACTCAACAACTGTAATGGCTAGGAAACGGTGGAAACGCATACTCACACGTCTTAACACGTATTGACCCATACTACGCTGGTGCTCACAGAGATTTGATAGGTGCTTTTGGTGCTTTGGCGTCTGCCAGGTGTCCCCTTCTGCTGTACAGGGCCGGGCCTGTCTGGCGCTCAATCTGCTTGCAATGCTGCCACGTGCCAAGCATCATTGAACCTTCCTCCCGTGAGCGGGTATGTGGTGCTATCTGTCAGATTGTCTAGATTGAAATTGTTGAATAGGGTTGAAAAAGGTTTCGTCTGCAACCAGCGGTCTTCATTCCACGCTGGTTGCGTTCTCGGGCCGATGCTGAGGGGCCGTCGAAGCTGGTCGAACGCAGGACGGGTTGCGATGTGCATAGGATCGTAGTGTCTCAAGGTGGCCGCTCCCAGGATGTGGTAGAGGAATAGGGTGTGCGCGCGCGCGCGGCCGCGGGTGTCTGTGTCTCTGTGTGTGTCTCTGTGTGTGTGTGTGTGTGTGTGCGTATTTGTTTGTTCGTTGGTGTTTCCTTGTGCATGTCTGCATTGGCAAAAGGCCGGCGCGGCGCAGCTTCCTCGGGTGGTTTCCCCGGTGGCTTTGCCAGGCCTGCCATGCGTTGCAGGGAGTACTCAGCAGTGTTCACAGCAGCTTGTTTTCCTTGAAACGAAAACTTGCAGCCCAAAGCAGGCACGTGTGTTTCATGCTAGCTATTGTAGTGAAAGTGGTGTGCTCGCAAGGTGGCCAACTTGTTGAACCGGTGACAGGTGTCCCGGTGACGCAGCAAGGCTTGGACATCGTAGCCACTGTCACCGTTGAGTGACACAAGCCGAACCACTAGGTTCAGTAGATAAGCCGACAAATGAGGGCTGCTCAAAGTAGCCGATGTCTGCGATCCTGAACCACGTTGTGTTTGCAGGTCAGACTTCTACTGCTTCGACCAGTCCCTCACCGTTCGTTGCCGCGAGCTTCGAAGCACTGGATGCCAACCAGGATGGCGTCATCACGCGCGCAGAATTCCAGCAAGCTGCGAACAGCGGCCCCGACCTTGGGGATTGTGTGAGCTGAGTACCCAGAGTTTCCTTGTGGGCCATGGCCGAATCATCCGAATCTCAGCTTAGGCCTCGTTTACCCTGTCAGCAGCGCGCCCGTGAGGCAGGCCCTCTGAGGACTTTGCGCACTTTGGTTCAAGGGATTGCAAGCCCTGAACTTGCCCTAAACTGGACTGGGTTCGTGACAGTTCTTGCCTTCGTGACGGTTTGTGAAAATTCGTGACGGTTCGTGCCTCTGGCCACGTAGGGTTGGGAAAAAGCCAGCAGTTTTTCACATGTGCCTCAGCATATTGGCTACGTGGCCTTGGCAGGCTAGGACCGGCTTCAGAAAAATGCGATTCCAAGGATTACAGAGCTGGGGAGGTTTTCTGCGTGCTGCACATTCGGTCAGCGTTGCAGGTCTGTTTCGCCTGCGCCGATTCGAGGCGTGCCCCCGCAAGTGGCTCAGGCGAAGACAGCTTTCCGGTTCTCTGTCGGGTTCAAAAGTGGGAGTTCAGGTTTGCTTATGCGGCGCCGCTGCATCGTGGAGTGCCAGATGCCAAGTCTCGTAGCAGACATGGCGCCTATATACTCTGTATACAGATGGCGGGTTGAGTAGAACAGCGAAACCCAGGATGCTGGGGACAGTTCTGGCTGAGCATGTGCAAAGCATGCTGCATAGTTTGGCCTCCCCAGGTCTCCGGAGCCCAGGAACCCATCTGGCCGGACTCTCTGCGGTTTTCTTTGGGAGGCATGTCGCTTTGGTTATGTGGCCCAGCTAGGCTAGACGGTACTTCCTGAGGAGATATATTATTTCGGGTGGGGTTTTGAGCGGCATTGTTCAATTCTTCGGCTCTTTCTGCTCAAAAGTAGACGTTCGACCAAGAAAAGAGCGGAAGACAGAAGCCGAAGAACCGAGGCCAGGTTCTGGTTGCCGGCACCTCTCCGAATCTGGTGCAGGCAGCTCCTTTCTCGCGTATTGGCTCTGTCTTGAGGACGCTTTGGACGGATGGTCTTTAGAGCAAGCTGCTTCCTGTGTAGGCCGTGCCAGTGGCTCCGATAAACACTGTGCCAGCTGTGGCCTCAGATGTCACGGTGTTTTGCCGCTTGTGGGCTAAGAGAGTTGGCCTTAAGTAAGGGTACCCTGGAGTATCCACCCTACTGTGGATGCTACTCCGGAATGCCCGCTTCGCAGTATGCCAGATGGTTTGCGGAAGTGTGCGCAAGTGAGGCCCGTTTGGCCCAGCACTGACCTCAATGGTGGGAAGGGTGGCTGTCTCTGAGTTGGAGAATTGGAGCCGTGACGGACAATTGAACGAAGTGCACTACGAGGTAATCTTACACGTCAGGTGATTCCTTAGCCTTAGCCTGCCCTTGATTGCAAGCCCAGACCGGCGATGTCCGCCCGGCACTTGAATCGGCAGCTTGCAGCAAGGTGGCCACGTTCACTGCACGAGCTTTAGGCGAGCGCATCTCCGCAGGCTGCTTGAGGACCCAACTTGTGGCATCGCTGACATGCTTTGGTGCACGCCTAGGTCCCGAACATTCAGGTGCTGCCGCCGTAGGCTTCCCAGGATCAGGATGCTTGCAGCGTTGAGGCGTTGCAACTCCTGCAGCCTGGAATTGCTCTCGAGCAGCAGGTTCCATAGGAGCAACTCCTTTCATACTGTTAATGCCACATAAATGCCGAAAGCTAATTATTCGGTTCAAGATGCTGCCCGATGGTTTCTGGAGGGTTGTACCCGCCAGAAGCTTTACAAGCGTCTGTCCGATGCCTTCCTTATACCTTCAGATCCGAAGAACATGCATACGAGCCGCATGTCCTTGTCCTCACTGTGGGTTGTTCGCTGGATTCTTCGTGCAGTTTTCCTTCACACATCCATCGAGGTCTGAGCCGGAGCCACCTCAGAATTTTTCCGAGGACCTCCGTGCTTGCGTGCGATGTCGGATTTCGTCGAATATCCCAATCATTGGCCTTACACAGGACCTCATCAAACGCATTGATGGAGTTGCCATCAGCTTATACTTGAGCGGCATGAATTGGCAAGGAAGAGTCGATGCAGACTGCTCGCTGTGTGACCTACAGGTTGAGACTAAACACATAGGTTGTGTGCGAACCTATTAAGTTATTATCATGGGGCGGATTCCTGAAAACCTGCCCTATTTGTGCTTCATAGATCGAGGTCACTGAGATGGAGCGGGAACTGTCAGACGACTTAGCAGCGCAAGGGCCTCAGGGCAAGCGCGCCTTTTTCGAGATATGCTCATCAGCTTTAGAAACTTGTGCTCAAGCTTCTACATATCGGCATTTAATTAGACACCGTGCAGCATCTGTTCGGGCAGTGTCTCTTTGGCGACTTTTGACTGATGCAAGTGCTCTTTGCGTTGAAGAATGTGTGGAAGGGCAACTGAAGTTAGAGAATTCGACACGTATTGAAAGCGGAAGCGGAAGGGGAGGCGCTTCGAGTCCTCGAGCTTGAGTTGAAGCAGAGAAGCAGGAGAGAGGGTCCCGAGTTTTTTTGGTAGAAGAAGCATGACTGTTTGAGAAGCTCAGGTGTGTGAAGTCTCCCCTGAATGAGCTGAAAACTGGTGTCAAGGCAGCTGTGCTGCAAGTTGAGCTCACTCGGCTTGGTTGTGGATGTCGATAGAAGAGGGCCACGTGCACCAAGACCCAAGAGCCATCTTCGCAGAAAGATGTCGACTTTGTGTTGACTGACTGAAAGTGGGCAGTGGCTAGGTAGAGTTCGGTGGCAGGAAGCTCAGAAACCAAAGGTTGCATGCGTCTCCCTTGATTGCCGGCTGTCGTGCTTTCTTAGCTACCAGATGTTTTTTTTATGCAGAACTCAACAGCTGCGTGCCTTGGCTTGAGGCGCCACGCAGGACGAGGACGTGACGGGTGACAATGAAAGCGAGCTTCTCAGAACTTGAAACTTTTCTGCGTTCCATTGCTTAAATGGATCTTGTCTGCTAAAGGTTTCTGCAGTCAGGTGCGCTGTTGGCTTTTCACTACTTTCTTTTTGGAACCACAGAAAGGCAACAAGTTGTTGCTTATCTGATTCTTCGTGCTCGGTTCTCTGGACTCGGTTGCTGCCAGTTCTTGTACCCCGGAAGTGTTTTGTTGTTTTGTGCGTGATGTGTATATCGTCTGTGCAGGATTTGGTTCACAGTTGCCAGAAGTTGTCAGATCTCAGGCACATTGGACTGGATTGACAAGCAGATCCGGGCCATTGAGCAGCGACGTGAGGCGTGTGAGCTGAGGCTGGGCAGCAGGGTTGTGGAGAAGTGGGGAAGAGTTAGGATCATTCCCTGCCCAGCTCCACTTCTGTAATTCGACACACAGAGCAGCACGATGGCACCCATGTCTCCGGAGTCTGCAGCTGTATGCCCTTGTGCACGTGGGACGCAGGCAGAATCACCTGTCCGACCTCCGGCGCCTGGTTGCTGATGGCGAACGGGGACAGGTGTCAGGCGTCACGGTTTGGCATGTTTCTTGCTTGGAATCTCTTGGATAAACCGAAGCTTTGACGGGTCCGCCTCAGGCCGCCGCCTCATTCGTGACGAAGGCTGTGCAGCCCCTTGTGCGTTGCATAGTAAGTGTGACCGACCTGTCTGCCTCTCAGGGCTGTACGCCGGACCTCCAGAGGATGTGGATGCGGCTGGCGGCCGAGCAAGGAACGCATGTATGAAGGTGCAACACGGTCTCGACAGATGATAGGCCTGTTTAGGCCTGTTCAGTTGGAGCATGTTGGAGCTCTTCCCCTTTCCCGGCCGAGGCAGGGAACAGTCCGTCCCAGCGGCTCTCAAACTTGGAGGCGGGCAGGGATGTGTGGTGACGTGCGATGACTTGCGATGACTTGCGATGACGTGTGATGATGTGTCTATGCAGGGTGACCAGGGCTGGAGTTGGGTTTGGGGTTTCCTTTCTCAAGGGGGTGAGCATTCTGGATTGGAGCGTGGGATGTAAGTCTATGTGTGTTGTGGCTCATGATCCCAATAGCAGCAGCTGAAAGCCCAGTAGAGTCCAGCAAGGTCCTCAAGGGACCTTTGCTTTGCAATGGCCGAAGCAGGCTGTGAGGAGCCTTCATTCTCTTGGCCCCTGGCCGTTGTTGGACGGACTTGTGGGGTCATGGACGAGGCACTCGGGTTCGCAGCTCACTTGAAGCCTTTGCCCTCACACCGGTTTTTCTGCAGTGGTTGGGGGGACCTCCAGTCGGTGCAAGATGCGCGTGTCATCATGGAGGACTTCCTTGTGGAATATTCACAAGGCATTGCACCTCCCACTGTCTCCCTGGAACCAGAGCATGTGATCTTTGGTGGCTCGGGTTTTTGCTGCCGCGGTCGATTTCCCAGCCCAATGGCATGCCACCTGCCGGAGGAGAGCAAGCTTTGCGAGTTTGAGCTCCTAGTTCCGAAGGATCGGCAGCCTTGGGCATGCGTAGTGCAGTTCCCAGGCACTGCAGACCAGTCTTACTTTTTCCGCAAGATGATGCTGGGATCCCCGCTGCTGCGAGAAGGCGTGGCTTCAGTCCTGATGACTCCGGCATACTACGGTGCCCGTCGTCCAAAACAACAGACATTGCACTACATCGACAAGGTTGCAGATTTCTTGCATCAGAGCACAAGCCTGCTTTTGGAGGCCTTGCAGGTCTTAGACTGGCTGCGTGTGAAGTTTCCCCAAGCCAGCCTCGGTTGCACTGGGATCTCGTGGGGGGGGGCCATGGCCTCCTGCATGGGCTTTCTGGCCCGACGCCATGACCTGGCAGTGGTGCCTTGCCTTCCCTCTGCCAACCCGGAGGTGCTCATTACTGGGGCACTTCGGGGTGAGGTGGCCATGGAACTGCTGGCAGTAAATGGACTTGATGTGCAAGAGGCCGAGGGTTTGCTGAGGGGTCTGCTGTGCGCCACGTCCACCTCGGATCTGCAGCAGATGGACATCCCTGGGCCGGTTGCTCGAAAGGTTGTGCTGCAAGTCAGCGCTTTCTATGACACCTTTGTGGACAAGCATGCCAGCCAAGTAGCCTTTCGAACGCTTCGGCATCTGGACAGCGGAGCTCAGCTGCGCTGGGTCGCTGGTGGTCATGCTTCTTCCCACGTCGTGGCACGTTGCCTCTTCAAGAGATCCATTCTGATTGGCCTTCGACGTTTGACCGCCCAGCAAAGGGAACCTACCTGGATCCCATCCAAGATGTGAGGCAAGCCCACGGCTCTCACAGCTTTAGTGCACAGAATCCTGTCATGGTCGTGCGGGAACGGTGCCAACAGTTCTTGTGTGCAACCTGGTGCATATGTCAGTGCATGATGATGCCAGGCTTCTCAGTGCCGTACATGGTTTGGGGTGGCACATCATTTCTGTCTCGCTGCGTCTGCCTAACAGTTCTTACGACGCACTGTGGCCGTAGCCGTTTTCAGTTTCGGGACTTGGCAGGCCGAACACGAGGAGCTGAAGAAGCAGGCGTTTGCTGTTTTGGAACCTCAAGTGCAGCAAGTTGTGATTCCTGAGCTGCCAGATCTGTGCCATGTCCACAGGTGGAATCTGAACGGCTGGAGCTTCTCAAGGCGCCAGACTGGGTTCTTGAGCCTCCCTGAAAACATCGACACGAAAGTCCAGAATACTCTGAAAGAAGTGGTGGTGGCATTTGCCTTGAAGTGCCTTGAAGCAGTTGGCAGCAATGCTACGAGAGCTTTGCACCTGCACTGGGCGAGGATGGCCAATTATCGAAGGAAACCCTGTTAGTCTCAGACAGGTGCGATCCAACCTTGAGATGGAATGCGAGCGACGCTTGGAAGAGGTCCGCAGATGTCTGCAGTGCTTTCCAGTGTGACCCAGCGTGTAACCTGCGCCTGGAAGCACCCTTTCATGCTGGCATGTGCAAGAGCAAGGTACGGGTACTTGCAGATTCGGTCCAGGCTGGGCAGCATGAAACGGAGTGAAGTGGACACTGTAGACCACGGCTCGCAGACATTCTTGACTGGAAGACGACATGCAAGAATGCACAAAGGTGTCCCTAAATTGTCCTTGTTAGCAGGAGGGTCGGCAGCGCGCCATCGCCGCTGAAGAGGCATGCGACACATGCACGCGCACGAAGCCAAACGACGGGTCAAGAAAAACATGCCAGAGAGCAACCGGCTCGTCAATCCGAATCTTTGAGCCTGCAGCGTAAGTGAACTTGCGGGACGCAGATAGGCTTGCTGGAGTACACCTTTGAAGCCCTGTTTGCCTGAACGAGCAGAGCAAGAAATGTCAAGAAGGCTGAGCAAAGATAGGGGTGTCCCACCCACTCCAAGGATGCCAAAAACGGGGGTATATAAATTATACTCATAAAGCTCATAAGCCGTTTTGCCAAGCGAAGCTTTCGTAGGGTGGTGGGAGCCGGTGCGTTCTGCTGTTGGTGGAAGTGATTGACTTGCTTCAGAGGATCAGTCGAGGTGACGTCGTTGCGCCTGTGACACCTGGCAAAAAGCCAGCCGCATGCGTAATGTTTGCTGGGCACGTACGGGGAAGCATGCCTGTTGCACTTGGGCGGCCAGGGTGCCACAGGGCAGATCAAAACCATTTTTTCATCTACTGATCGGAATGAAGCTCTCCCAAGCCAATGTGGCTGCTCTGGGGGGTGGGAAGGGTGGAGACCGGACGGCGCGAATTGGGACTTGTGCAAAGCTGTGTAAGTAGGAGACTAGGGCATTGTGGATGGTAGCGACATCATACCCAGCATCCAGTGTCGAGGCGGCCAATCAGCGCGCCAAAGAAGCTGGCTTCCAGGTCCAAGTGCTGCAGGCGCCCGCAACCCTTGTGCAGCGTTTTTGGTGGAGTTTTGCTCGGCTCAGGATCGACTGCGCGAGGCAGAGGCCAGGTGTCTTGAAGAGTCGCGCAGTTTGTAGCATACAGCAGACCATTCAGCTTACACGTAGACTGTTGACAGGTCATGTCCGCACTAGCAGATTCCCGTTTCCGTCTGTGTGATGCAAGCGCTTGGAGGCTACCCTGGAGCGGGAGCGGCAGCAGTTCCGTGTGGCGCAAGAAGCGCAAGCAGTGGCAGGTGTCGGCGCTGCGAGAGGGGCGTTTACCAGAGACACAAGTTGCGCCAGTGCAATGTTCAAGAGTGTCTGACAACAGGGGCTGACCTCCGCCAACTCGAGGTGCACCGGCCTACTCGATCCTACCTGCAGCTTTCACTCAAACTTTCTCAAGCTTGAAACGCACACTTGCTGACCACAGCAGCGTGTGCTGGTTCGCTAACGTGCTATCATGTGCTGCACGGATGTAGTTGTCCTTGATCTGGTTTCAGGAGAACTCGCGCGCTGTGCTTGCAGACTGCCGTGCATTGCAGCAAAAGGCGTGGGTGTTCGAGGTTTGCACTTGCGCGCTGCTTGTACAAACATGCTTCTGGTGCGCAGCAGTGGCCAAAAGGTTCGAGAGTTGGAGCTGGAGCGAGCAGCTTTCCTCGAGGTTCAGGCGAAGTCTGAGGACACGGATGAAAGATTAATGAGGAAGCCCTTCATTTGCACAGCGTTGGAAGACTAGTTGCTACTGACCCGGACGAAACCATTACAGTTGCGGACGGATGCTCGACCTGGCCACGTTACCCCTGCAGCTGTTTGTTTAGAATTAGCATGGTTCCAGTTTTCTTGCTTCGGACTTCAGACCTCGGTAGGATTATTGGAAAACGTCCCACATTCCCACGGCACTGTCTGGAAGCTGCGAGGAGGACCGCAAGGCCATGATTGTTCGCATCAGCCAGTTCGAGGACCAAAATCAGATATGCTTGGAAGATTCAATGGCAAGGCTACCCAGGTTAGCCACTGCCAACACCCCTCCTTACTGCCTGTACGACGTAGGTCGGTTCTTGTCTCTTGAAGGAGGAGAAGTCCCGGGACATGGAGTCGGTGCTACAGCATCACCGTGAGCAGTGGCGCGAGGAAGCGGACAGTTGGTTCAACAGCCTTTATCATATTTTATCATCAAAATCTGTGTTTAGGCAGTCGAAAGTGACCTTTCAGCGGCAATCCTCCAATCCTAAGCCTTTAAGCTGCTTCAAGACCAGGCTGCCAACAGAGAATCAGAGCAGATGTTGGCAGCTCAGTCTTTTGCATTTCGCAGTGCCAGAGTTGATCACGGCACAAACATGGGTACAGCTGTTGTTTTTCTCTTTTCTGATGATGTGTGCGAAGGCGGGCCTCCATCGAAGCAACGCACAGCCGGACCTTGAAGGCCCGGCGCACCGACTCTCATCTTAGGCCTTTCCACACCACCCTGATGCGGAGTTAGTCTTGTGAGTCCACCCCGAAAGCCGACAAGTGCGCATCGCCCGCAATGCTCGGATCAGGACCTTGAGAGGCAGACCCAGGCAAGGGCAGGCGAGTCGAACGCGAGCCTTCTCAAGGAGCTGGAGGACTGGAAGGCAGAGTGCATGAGGCCGAGGGTGGTGGGGAGCGAGTGATCTGTGTCTCTGTGTCTCGATTTCCGGGGGTGGGGGGGGGGGGGAGGCACCTTGCAGCGTTGCACTGTATATACTGACTTTATCCCAATTTTCTCTCACCTTTATTACTCTCGCCTTTGTTTTCGCAGCTTGGCAGGCTGCGGGGTGACTGTGATGGCGAGCGGAGGGCGAGGGTGGAGCTGGAGCAGCGACATGCCGCCGTCCGGGGCCCTGACTCGGGGGTGCACGGGTCCAGCCTCTCAATTTCTTTTGTGTGTTCGAGTGCACTGCGTATGCCTTTCTCTAGCGTGGTATGAAAGAATACGTGTGGGGGCTCCCAGAGATTGGCTGTCAAAGGGGCCTCTAGCTCCCTTGTGGTTGCTTGCACGCGCATGCCGGTGTGGAGTAATCCGGAACGGTGTGAGGTCGCCTTGGACAACGTGTAACGCGCCTCTCTGTGAGTTTTTCTGCGATGGAAAGCACACCTTGGCCTTACACAGGGCGCTTGGAGTTGCCATCGGTTCAATCCCTCGTACGAAATGTGCGAAGCAATGCTCTCCACGCTTTGCACCATCAACGGCCCTCAGCTCCCGAGCCTCTGTGTCGTACTCGCGCTTTTTCCGCGGCGCTTTTGCTTACCGTCCGGTTCTGTGGGACGTTACCATCATTACGGCGAGCATGGCGGCGAGTTGGGAGCCTTAGCGTGGTGCATCAGGCACCTGCGCGAAGTGCATCTGATCGCTGCGAGCTACAGGAGCAAGAGCGGCAAGCTAGCTTGCACAAGTTCCTACTGCTGCCAAAGCGGTGGTCAAAACGGGTCGGCCACGCAGACCATCACTTGAAGCCCCTGGGAGCCTCGCAAGCAAGGCGCATGCTTTTGTTCGAGAATGCTGCTGCACTTGGCGACGTGGAGTGGCTTCGGGCAATTCTGGATGCTGGCATAGATGTCAATGGGAAGAACCTGTTTGGACAAACTGCTTTGTTCTTGGCTTCCTGGTATGGCCACGATGAGGTCGTTGCTCTGCTGCTCTCCTATGGCGCTGAAGCTCTAGCGGCAAGCGGCGGGGTGACGCCGCTCCAGGTGGCAGAAGCGAAGGGTCATCAGAAAATTGTTGAGATGCTGCGCGTGTTGTGTTTAACAGAAGCCGATGCAAAAGACGAAGCTATGAGCGTCAACGCCCGTTCAAGCTTGGTTTCAAGCGTGGACCCACAGCTTATTCTGCCTGAGCCAGGCATGGTGGGAAGTTGGCTTTTTTCTGAGACCTTTCAGGAAGGCTTCCTTCAAAGGCTCGATGATTTGGGCAGCAGCCTGCCTGTACCGGAAACGGAGATGGGCCGGCGGGCAGCTGAACGCCTCTTTTTCTGTGACTCCGTCGGTGGCATACAGGAAGCGCTGACATCGCTGTTGCATCATGCAGGATTTGAAGATGCGTGTGTATCTCCATGGTTTCGATTTCTGCGATACAAAAACGCCAACGTGCCCTTGGTTCCCCACGTGGACTATGAGTGGCTGCCTGGGTACATTTCTGCAGCCCTTCCTGGCTACGCGGGCCTCAGCACCACCCACACGTTACTCCTGTACCTCACTGATTGCCACGATGGTGGTGAGACCTGGTTACTGGATGGGACACCAGACCAGCCTGTGGACGATCCTGAGACACTGGCTCGTGTCCCTGCTCGGCGCGGTCGTATGTTTCTATTCCCTCATCAGCGCCTGCATATGGGCACTGCTCTGCAATGCCTCCCAAAGATGATGCTTCGAGCCGATGTCCGATTGGGCTCAGCACCAGACGTGGAGCGCATCGAAAATGAGCTCAAGCACCATTCAGGCACACACATCTCAAGCATAGGCATAGCAGAAAACCAACTAGAAAAAGCTGTACCGGGACAGGATTAAGAACCCATCGCGCTGTAGACTCTGCTACATTAGGCCGTCGAGGACGCAGCGAAGCTGCGAGAGGACCAGCAACGATTGCAGGCACGGCTGGATGGTTGGGTTTCTTTGGGCATCAGAAGAAGCTAGCAAAAGCAAAGCCATTGCACATCCTTACAGGCCGCTCATGCAGCAGAAGAGCGTGCGAAGGCCGTGGGGGTGAGAACCTTCTCATCTTGGAGTTGCGGCAATTGAGAAGCTGCCGCTTGCTGGCAGGAAGAAGTCGCGTCGCGGCACCAGGCAGTGCTGGTGGACATGGAAAGGATGAAAGGAGACAAGCTGGAGCTGGAGAAGGTGCGACGGGTTTACAAAAGTCTGCGGAGCCATGTTAATGCCATGTTCGTGAGCTTTACTTACTTGATATTGGTGCGAAGCTCCACGAGGACCAAGCTGCGGAAAAACAAGCCAGATTGCTTGCGGAGCAGAAGCATGCGGCAGCAATGGAGGCCCCCGCATCGCATCCATCCTCTCTTAGGGGATTAAACATGTTAAAAGCACCTGAAGAGATGCAGAGAGAATGTAAAGGGCGAATCTCTCAATGCCTTCTTTTGAGGACGCGCAGCGCTTGAAGGCCGACCAGGAGAAGCTCCACGCCGTACTGCCGGCCTGGTTGAGAAAAGGCTCCCCCTATAACTGCAACTTTTTGCCGTTCTGTCAAAGCGCCAGGACAAAGCAGCTGAACAAGCAGCGCGGCAGGAGGCTTGGGATTGGATCAGATGCTTCGCACTCTTGGCAGAGTGCTGCTAAGGGGGAAGCTGTAGAGGGTTTTTGAAGGGTTGGAGGCGCGCTCCATTCGGCAAATGCACTCCCCTCTCTGAGTTGATAGCCAGGTTTTTCATCGTGGCTAAAGGTCACGCTCCGTTTTTGAGTCTTCAACGCTGCCGCCACTGCTCGTGCTGAAGTCGGGCAGGCGGAGCGAAAACACCAATCCGTCTTGAAGGACATGGAGACGGTTCGCAAGGGCCTCGAAAGCTTTTGAATGCCATGTCTACAGTCTACATGTGATTGCGAACGCCCAAGGTGCGGACCACCAGCGGGTTACGCGAGAGAAGGAAGAAGAAGCTCGTCTCCGCACCGGGACCCGGGCAGTCCGAGAACAAGCCTTGAGGTCCTATTTGCACATTTTGCACATCTTTCCCAGGCTCGGAGGCTGAGACGAAGCATGCCTCTGTCGTCAAAGACATGCAGAGGCTGCAGGAAGACCACGCCAGGCCGTTGCTCCGCACTGCGCAGGGCTCCAGTTACTGGCCCCGTCGTGAAGTCAAGGATCAAAGCAGACAAAGATGCCGAAGAGCGCGCCAAGCTGGAGGCACTCCACCTTTCTCCATCATTCCCCCACTTTGCGTTTGTGCATCTTCTGTCAGGGCTGAGCTCGGTTGATAGTAGGCAGTTTGTAGTGCCTACCTTATGGCAGGTGCAGCGTCTCCATGAGGCAGGGGCACACCAGAACGTCCGTGCCTTCTATTGCTATTATTCGGAGCGTACAGCCGAGGAGGTGCTGAGGGAGAAGACATCCGGGCATGGCCACTTACAGGACTGCATGTCTTATGCGTTGGTCACCATCTCCTACTCCCCACAACATGAATGCATCATTCATGTTCTTTCCTGTGAGTTTCTTGACTTGTTCGAGAGGAGCTCCTGGATGCGGAGAAGCGGGCCAAGGAGGAGATGCGGCAGCGCCATGCGGCGGCCGGCAGCTTGGGTGCTCACAATGTCATAAAGTACATTAAAGCACTGTCTCAGCATGTCGCATACGCTCACCAGTCCTAAACAGCATTTGTCCTTCGATGGTGTATGTTCCTTTGCCCTGCGGTGGTCAGGTGGAAAGTGACAAACAGCCGGCCCGGCATGTCTTGGCGGCTTGCAGTATCTCAGAGTCTGGCTGGGCACAGAGACTCAGTGGTCGCTGATGTGTTCTCTGTGTCATGTGACTTCCAGCCTGCGTATCACTTGTGTAGCAGATGGCTAGAATGCTGCAGGGCATGCGTTAAACTGTTGAAGATACAATTAGCAGCTCCTGTTTGCAAGGAAGATGGCCCAGGATCAGGCGCAGCTGCAAGAAGACAAGGCGCCGGAAGAAAGCAGAGTGGACATGCTGGATGGGCATCACGGAAGTACCAGATGCAGTGGCCGTTGGCCGACGGGACGTTGCAGCAGCAATTGAATCCATGGTAGCAGCATGTAACTTGTTGTACAACTCTCAAGACGCAGCACACGAATGTGAAATGGTGAAAGGCAAGGGTCGGGCTGCCCGCAGAAGCAGAATGTAAAGTCCGGAAAGCGACAGGCAGATTTTTTCTCGCATTCTCAGCCTTTGTGGGTTTTAGCCTCGTGCGAATGCGTGCATGTCTATATATGAACGACCCGGCAGCCTGGGGGCTTAAGTATGCCAAGTTCTGGCCAAAGAATGCATACTTCTCAAGCCCACCAGCCGACCACCAACATGTGAGCCTTGAGCAGCTAGCAAGGAAGGCATGGCGGGGCGCTAAAACGAAGAACTATCAGCGCCAGGGAGTTGACCCAGGCTGAGATGTTCAGAAATGGCACAGGTCGGATACAGGCAGCGCGCTCCTTTGAAGCACAACCACTCCGAATGCCGGGAAAATTTTGGCTTCCCCTGACTAACTTTCGTTTGCTTTGGCTTTGTTTTGTCAGGAAGTCTCGCAGCATGTTAAGGCTCTTACGGGTTGAGGGTTTAGGGTTTGGGCAATCAGGTCTGATGGGGTCAAGCTCTTACAGCCATGTTTCATATGCCATAAGTTTCAATTCACGACCCTGCATCATGTGGTCCAGAATTTTTGCGGTGGACACTGGCACCACGTAGAATTGGTGTTCCAGTTGTCCTTGTTGGGGTGTTGTTGTTCGACCCTTCCCATTCTGGCCCTTGTGTGCGTAGAAATGCTTGCCACCTCCGCTGGCAGGTCCGTGAGTCTCAATTGCGCGCGGAGGCCACAGCTGTTCACCCGAGCACTCTGGGTTGTCGGGATTGAGTGCTGGAGGTTCGGCAGTGCAGACATGTCCCAAATCGTGGGCACGGGATGTCTGTGCGTGTTACCCTTTTCGAAGCCTAAAGGCTGAAAGAAAGCATGAAGAGCTGCTGCGCGATATGCAGCAACTACGCAGTGCCGTCATGTTGCCATGACCTGCACCGCCAGGGCCAGTCCATGCTGAGCATGGCTTTCAGATCTTCTAATCCTCATCATGAATCAGATAGACTGCAATTGCCAGGTGAGGACCAGAAGCGTCTGACGTCCGATAAAGAAGCAGAAAGCCAAGCTAAAGCAGAGGCCACACGATGCCCGAGAGTGCAGGAACCTCTGAACAGTGGTGAATAGAGCTCCCAGAATCTACCAGACATGGACGGGGCAACACGTAACAGCAATTTTGTGGCTACACTCGTTGGCGTGTAGGCATGTTGCCAGCCAGGCTGAGCGAAGACATGCTTCAGTTCTTCAAGATATGGAGAAGCTGACTGCGGATAAGCAGAAGCTAGAGGCAGTTCGCAATGATTGCGCTAACATGTATCATTCACGTGCCGCTGCTGGAAACTGGTACCTTCGAGGCAGATACAGCTGCTGAGAGAAAGGCACGAGAAGAGGCCACAGTCGCCATTGCACTTCATGTGATGTTGAAGCAGAACCTGCGCAAAGCAGCACCAGGGCCTTAGGTCACCGAGGTTGTGGGGACGGATGGCGTTCTTGAAGCTTGGGGCTGAAGAGGAGTTTTTACGGCCTCCCTGGAGGGTCGTTTGGGCGTCGAAGCTTTGACGCCGCACGAGATGGGTCGGTTTGAGAATCGACGCCTCTTGGCTCGTGATTGATGCTCATGATGCTAGCTCTTGGGGGGCATCTGTACTCAATGACGTTTGCCATGCCGATATGCGGCATGTTGACAGCTTTGGACGCTGGGAATTCTATCGGGGCCGCTGCCCGACGCTTGAGTGGTGGACTCGTTGGTTTCGTTTTCTGAGCATGCTGGCGCCACTTTACGACAATCGGATGCACTTTGCAGAGCCTGTTGCGGACGTTCCAGGTCGTATGAGAGCCCTTCACATTGGGTCATACATACGGTCCTTCACATATAGACGCCCGAGAGAAGCAGTCCAGCGCATGTATTTCTGGAGGAGCTTGGCCCCCCCCCCCAGGTCAATTCTACACAATTGCGTTCTGGTAGGCTGAGAAGAAGCATCTTGAAGTTCTGCAAGACCGGGAGCAGATCTCGTCGGATATGCGTGCGCTTCAACGAGACAAGGCAACCTTGCAGAACCCTCCAGCCGTACGAAATCGCACGAACTCCTCTCGCGCGCTTTGCTTGAAGGACTCGGAGTCCCTTGCCAAAGAAGAGTTTGCACGCAAGCACGAGGCAGCCTGGGCCGGAAGTTTCATGGAGTTCATTGTGTCATCACGAGTCATCGCGTCGTTTGGATGCTGAGCTGAGCTGTTGGCTGTCGAGCTTTTGATGCCTGTTTGGCCGCCCACTTCAGATGACTCTACTTCACACGAAGTGAGTTCAAGTAAAGGTCCACGCAAGTCCCTTGTCCGGGGTATACCTTCAGGCTGCGCTGAAGCAGTTGGACCTCGTGAATGCCGACCAGGCCAAGCTGCGCATGGACAAGGCCGATGGGGGCACCGGGGATACCCCGTGTGTGATGTTGTGACTGTTGTGACTGTTTTGACATGTTGTGCCTCTTGTGTGGTGTCTAAGACCAAGTTGCAAGGCCAATATCTGTGCGCAGCTGATGTCATGTTCATTGCCAGGAGGCAGAAGCCCGTGCCAGGGCAGATCTGGAAGCGAAACATCAGGCGCGGCATCCCTTCCGAGTCTCAAGGGGGCTCCGCTCGTACCTACTTCACCATACTCAACTGCTCTTCGAGCGCTGAAAAAAGAGTGCGCTTCTGGGAGTGCCTTGTTGATGGTTCTTCGAGTGAGGAAGCGCGCGCTTTGGGTGGGTTGGATGTTCGGTGCTACCCTGCAAAGTCCAGATTCAACGGTGCATTCCCAGGCCGCTCTGCGAGAGAAAGATGAGCTGCAGGCACGAGGGTGATGTGAGGTGGTGCAAGTGAGGTGCCTTTGAGCCATCCCCTGTGCCAGGCGCAGCACTTGAAAGTGCAACAAGACAGGGACAGGCACAACGAGAAGGGACATGTTCAGAGTGTCCTGCATTTCTGGCGACTCAAAAGATTCTGCTCCTCTTTGGAGGCTGGCGGCACTCCAGGGAAACTCCTCTCGGGAGCATGAAGAGGCAAACCAGGATAAAATCCTGGTTTCGGGTCATGTTGTTCCAGGGGACTGTGATTGAACAGAACCGCCTGGCTTTGTGGCAGCCCATGAATCCCAGGCCTATGTCAAGATGAAAGCTGCCCACGAAGCCGAGTTGAAGCAACACAAGGCCTGAAGTACCGCAGCACATGTACGAAGGCACCCACGGGACATGTCGACACGGAATGCTATGTAGTTGAGGACTCTGGTCTGCAGCTGAAGGCAGAATGGGAAGGACGACACCAGGCTGCGGGCTGCTGCTGGTGTACTGAGCTCGCAATGCTGAGTAATACTGAGTAATACTGGTGTCATACTGAGTAAGACTGAGCAATGCTCAGCAATACTGGACTCTGCTGTAATACTTCGTGGCTGTTGTGCCGGGCCGTGCTCCGAGGACCTGCTGCAGGAGCTGGAGAAGCTCCGAGCCGAGCACCGCAAGCTGCAGCAGGTGGGGTGCCGCCTTTTCTGGTGCACTCTATTCTCATTCGAATTCCAATTCAAATTCTAACTCTAATTCTGATTCTCATTCTAGTTCTAACTCAAATCCCTGATTCTGATTCTAGTTCTCAAAAATTTTGTAATTCCAATTAGAATCCAAATTCTAATGAAAAGTTCAAATAAGAACTCTAAATCCAACTCTAATCTAATTCTAGTTTTTAATTCGAATTCTCGCCTTGGGCCGCAGAGGAGAAGGACGACGAGCGGCGAGGACGCGAGCGCGTCCACAGCCCTGCCCCCAGCGTCATCCATATACTGGCAGACCGTCGGACTGGTTTACTTCGGTAACGAAGTGCGCTTAAAGGTGCAGATCTCATGAGCTTGGCCCCGAAAAAAAGGCGACCACCAAACAGCTCTTCGAGATGCAGTCAGGCACTCAAATGGCGGCAGTTGAGTATGAGCGGGTCGGTGGCTTCGGTTCTTGGCACGCGTTTTCTGGGAGATGCTTGGCAGCCTGAGTGACCTCAGACCGGCCAAGGAGTCAATCAAAATCCAGCTGGATGGCCTCCAGGTGGAGTTGCCGTTGCAGGATGGCTCTAGGATGCCTTCATAACCTCCATGTCAAGGCTCGCAGTGCCGGCGATCGGGCCTCGCTGGAAGAGGCGAACAGCAGGCAAGTCCCTGAAATGTTCGCCAACCGGATTGTAATGCGCGTGCGGCGCCCCCGCAAGTGAGGTTGGAGAACCCCGCAAGCCTGAATGTCTGCAGTCTGTGCAAAACCTTCGGTTGACTCTTCTGTGCTCGCGTGGTTGCCAAGTGAGGAAGGGGTCTTCCCCAGTGGGCGCTTGGGTTGCCAGCTGGGAATCTTGAGAGAAGGAGTTATTAAAGGAGCTGAACCAAGAAATGCCACATCGGTGCAGGAAGGGCAGTGCCGGGGGGACAATAGCCGACACAGTCTCCATCTGGCAGCTTTCAGGGGGGGCCCAGGGGGGGGAGGGTTGGGGTATGAGACCAGATCCTGGTCTGCTTGTTCCAAGTTCCAGACGCCTCTCTGCCGGAGGCCGAGGCGAGAGAATAGTTCTGGAGCGCCGCATTTCATGGGAGATCGGCGAATCATGAGCTTGATGTTGATGCTTGCCTTAGTTCGAAGGGTGCAGATGTAATGCGCTGTGGCCCTTGCTGTCGAGCTGTCAGTGCGCCTTCAGGCTGCGCACTCTTCAAGCGGAGCGTGATACCCTGGCCGCAGATGTGAGCACGCTGAAGCGGCTTGTCAGCAGTTTCCTCGATTTGCCATGCGTTCCTGGCCCGTTCACAGCTATCCCGGTGAGGAAGTTGAAGGAAGAAAAGAGCAAAGCTGAAGACGACCTTCGAGCAGCTTTGAACGAGCAGTGCCTTGGACACGTCCGTTTCCAACAGCCAAAGCTGAACGCCAGGTTAGTCATGTTTCGTCATCTAGTCATGTATGTCATGGTCGCGGGAGCTCCGTCCTTCATGCAAGCTCCAGCAACTCTCACTAGCCAAGGAGAGCGGAGGTCAAGCTTCTGCAGAAGCAGCTGGAAGAGCGTGATCATCAGGCTTGGGCCGAGCTTGGCCATGTTCACGTGCGCGGGCTGATTTCGCATATTGGCTGGGAAGTTTGCAATCCCTTGCATCGCCAAAGCCATGAGGGTGTGATCATTGCTCATTGCTTGCGTGCACCCACTCATCATGCGCATTGTGCAATCTCGGCGGGGACAGAATTTGATTTGCCCGCCCGCCCTCGCTCGACTGTTCGCGCGCCCATGCAGCGTCAGAGTTCATGTCACCGGGCCGCATCATGTGCAGAGTGCGACACTCAAGCACGCAGTTGTACGGTATACCGAACCTCAGCCATGTTAAAACCACACTGGAACCTGTGGAGGCACGACAATTCGAGGACAAACGCCGTGTGCAGGAGGAGAAGCTGTCGTCGCCTGGTTCTCGGAAGTTGCCCTGTTCGCATTCTCACCAGCCTCAAAGCGTCATGACTTTGGCAGCAGCTTGCCAAGATTTGCACAGATTCGCAGAGATACAACTGCAAGTGTCGGCGTAATGTTTACGTTTCCGTCACCGTGTCACCTGCAGAAACACACCATGCCGGCAGAGGTTGCTTTCTCAACTTGCGGATGAGAAGAAGGATGCTTGAGTTGCCCCGATCCACTGGCGTTCTCACCGGCTTCAAAGTGTACTTCGAATCATTCGAATCCTACTCTGACAGGATGCAGAGGAGTCGCGGCGTGAACTCCAGCAGGCATCTGGCAAGCAGGGCACTGTTTTTGGGAAGGGTTTCTGAATTTTCTGGATCTGTGCAGCTGCGTCAGCCTTCAGATTGCCTGCCTCGTGTTTTTGCGCTGGAGAGCTCTCTTTGCTGTACTTCAGAGACATCCTGCTCTTATGCTGCAAGCACTGCCTGAAGGCGAGGCAGTTCTTTAAACTTTAAATGCCATCACCTACAGCAGAGCTCAGCCCCCCATTTGCCCCCTAACTCTTTGCTCCTCCATGCCAACAATGAGCATGACCCCGTAGCAAGTTACTGCAAACGAGCCACAAACCGTTCATGCAGGTGCGGCGTAGCGGAGAGCAGTTCCAGAAGGATGCGGAGGCTCGAACAGCTCTTCGAGCCATGACGTAGTCGCGAGTCATGGCCTTACCGTGACTTGCAGGAAGGGCTTCAGACCATAAACCGCGATTGGTCGACGGCTCGGTCAGAGGCCGTAGCAGATGCGAAATGCAGGCCACGAAGTCGACTGAAGCTGCTACTCTGCTAACATAGGTGCAACCGCGACCTAGGCAGCAGAAGTACGATGACCTCATCAAAGAGAATCAGGCGCGCTCGTTGAAGCCCTAAAAATGTGTGTGTGTGTGTGTGCAGGAGTAAGATCAGTAGATGGCAGTTCAGCGGTATGTACCGAGCACCCCTATGAACATCCGCCCAGTCACATCGCGTCGCGGCAGAGCACATGTCAGTGTCAGGCCTTGAAGCACGCGGCAGCGTCCAGAGCGCGCACCAACAGCGATGCAGAATTGAGGCGGCGCTCGTTGTGGCGGCCTCTGTTGGGGGAATGCGCAGTGAACCCATCCATGAAGGGACTGACCTTGCAGCATCTTGCGGCTTCTTGCCTTCCAAGGGCGCACCGCATGTCCCTTTGGGCCGAGCGGGGACCCAAGAGCAAAAGGGAAGTCCCATCTGCTTGGATGGGGGGGAGGGGGCCGAGTGCCTTTTGGTGCTTTTCAGCGCTTTTTGGAGTAAGTACTTGGAGCCGCTGGTGGCCACTGGTGACCACCAAGGCCGATGAATTTCTTGGCCGGCTTGGAGGACGGCTGCTAGGAGGTCCATTCTTCTGAGTGACTCGATAGTCTGCAGGAGGAGAGTCCGTTGCTGCCTGGATCTAACGCTGACATCGTTCAACAGGCATCCAAATTGTGGCATATTGTGGCATATTGTGGCCTGCATTCGTCTAGACTGTCTAGATTTTAATAGCATCCGGACTCCAATGTGTCAGGTGCGCAAGACCCACAAAGAGCTGGATGAGAACATTCAAAACGCCACGGAGGTGGGCACCAACAGCGAGTGAAGCGTACTAAGCTTTGTAAGCGAGTTGTTAAAGTGGGCTGTAGTATGTGTTAGTAAGATAAGGGCTCGTGCTGTCTTCCAAAGGTCATGACTTTGTTAATGCGCGCGCCAACGTGTGTGTGTGTGTGTGTGTGTGTGTGTGTGTGTGTGTGTGTGTGTGTGTGTGTGTGTGTGTCTGTGTCTGTGAGAGCACGCTGCCATTCAGGGCTTCTGCGCGTCTTTGCAGGTTCACATCAAGTCCATCATGGCTCAGCTCGAGGGTGTCACTGCTGCCGAGAGCAAGGAGCCTCTTCGAGTCCTTTTGTTTTTGGAGCCAGTGGCCGGTCAGCTGGGGCAGATGCAGTTATGTTTACAAGATCGGCTAAGAGCGGGAGCCAGGGCTTGTCTCTTCGGCGTGGGCTCACCGACTACGAGCGCAAGTCGGAGATAGAATCCGAGTCGGGAACCCTGAGGGAGGTCCGGAGGTCCACGGGTCCGGAGGTCCGGCTTCTGCGATGCCATCGGATGCCCCTCATATTTGGCCAAGGCGCCACACTGAGCAACTCAGACTAGATGCGCGGCTCCATGACTTGAGAGCTCTGCAGGAAGAGGCCTGGCGAGTTTAGTGGTGTCTGCAATGTGAACCGAGTCCAAGTCTCCGACATGAGGATAGACGGCAGTGCAGTCGAAAAATCTGTGTAAAGGTGAGAACGAGCACCGCATGTCACATTCAAAAGCAGCACGTCTGCAATCTACTCTGAGGATAATGCCCGCGAAGATTTTCAAGCGCACATAACAGCCGATGTGCTGCAGATCTCTGCCCTGACTTTTTGCGTGCCTGCAAGTAGAATATGTTCGCCTGTAGAATCAGATACGGACCGCATGGTCACCAGGCTATGGCAAACAGTTCGCCTAAGACGGCTTTTCTGTACCCCCCCCCAAGCCTTCCGTAAGTCACCTGGCTCCAGGTGGCTTTGGAGCACAGCTTGTCCGAGTCCGATCAGCAGAAGGCAGGGCGGCGATCGGCTGCAATCCAGAGCATCTCGGTGCCTTCTGCTGACGCAGATAAGAGACTACTTGCAGCGCGACATGAAGCGGTGCGAGGAGGAGTGGTCTGCTGTTTCTGGTGGTCGATGCAAAGCACCATAGGACACATATTGTGACAATTCGGTCGCTTGTAGAAGAGAAGTTGGAGGAGCTAGAGATCCTGAAGCCCTCGTCTGCGCTGGCCTCTGTCCCCGACCAGCTCATCCAGGCGCGCACTGTTTGGGTTTGGGTCTGGCGGAAACTTGGGGGTACTTCATAAACTGGTAGACCATGGCAAATGTGCTGGTTCTCTGGGTAGCTGTCTAGCTATCATTCATTCATCATGTAGAATCCAGCGACTATCAGATGCCAGGTCCTCCAGACCATGCCTGAGGAGGGATTGCCCGAGCGGTGGCCTGGAAAGAACCAAGATAGAAACACCTTAAGTAGGTCACCCTAAACCCTAAACCCTAAACCCTAAACCCTAAACCCTAAAGCCTAAACCCTAAACCCTAAACCCTAAACCCTAAACCCTAAACCCTAAACCCTCAACCCTCAACCCTCAACCCTCAACCCTCAACCCTCAACCCTCAACCCTCACCCTCAACCCTCAACCCTCAACCCTCAACCCTCAACCCTCAACCCTCAACCCTCAACCCTCAACCCTCAACCCTCAACCCTCAACCCTCAACCCTCAACGCAACTCCCTGTATTCCTGGCGGACTCAGGTTTGAGCATGGCTTCTCACCCCTGCACTGGGCGGCGCAGCAAGGTCGACGGGACATCGTGGAGTTCATCCGCCGCCTTGTGGCCAAGCTCCTAGATCGGTGTGCAAAAAATCCGAATCCCCCAAATTCCCCCCCCAAATATCCCGAAGTGAGGGAAAGCCATGAAAACTCCTAAAGGGGGCCATGGTTTTTGAGGGTTTTGCTTGTCTTTCTACTTAGGAGGGAGGCCACGGCCTCCTGGCCTCCCGAGATGATCAAGGCATCCGCTTCCGAAATTCGGGGTACCTCATCGGGGTCCTTATTCCAACGGAATCCTAAAAGTGGGCATCTATATTGGGGGTCCCCTATTTTCGCAAATGCCCTCATGTGAATCTGTGCTGCACTTGTGCGCTTCGATGCCGATTTTTGCGACATCCTGCCCAAGAATGCCCTTTGGCAGGCCGCACGCCGCTGTTCTACGCTGAGCGGGAGGGCCGCACTGGCCTTGCCTACCACCTGCGCCGGGTGGGAGGCCAGCAGGAGATAAGAGATGAGAGATGTGGAAGGGATGGGGATGCTTGATCTTCCTTGGTAAGACGAATTCAGAGAGCCGCTCCGGTCTATTGTGCGAGGCTCCGCTGAGGACCCCTTCAGGCCAGAATGGCCACCTTTGGATGCAAGCACAAGCCCACTCGATAGGTTTGGACCTGCATTGATCCATGGCGTATGATTGTGGTGATATACCAGCGCAACTTAGCAAACAAGCCTGGACTTTGTCACGCGTGTTCCCCTTGACACGTGGCATGTGCAGGCCAGCTGTCGAGCGTCCTCATGTAGATTCACTGCCTGCAGCGTACCAGCAGGCAGGTTTCATCAGAAACACAGCGGAACATCAGGTTGTGCAGGGTTGTCACCAGCGTCACTTAAGGCCATACTGCTCAAGAATCTGTGCGCCTCCTTCCACAAATTTGCTGTGCACGTGTCCCATGCTGGAGTCAGTTGATGGACATCCAGCGCGAGGTTCGTGGCCTCAGCGCCGACCCTCGTCATGCGACCAAAGTGCTGGAGCGCGTGGCTCGAACTGGGAACTGGCGTTTGGCCGCCGCGATACTGGAAACTATGCGTTCCTTTCGAAAGGAGGTGAACAAGTTTCATGTAGGTGCGGTGGTCAGCGCCTGCCAGAGAGGCACAGCTTGGTCCGAGGCTTTCTGTTCCCTTCGCGCAGGGGAGCAGACCACAATCTCGACCAGTTCGGTCATCAGTGCCTGCCGAGAATACGGCCATTGGAAGACAGCGCTGTGCCTGATTGGCATCATGCGTCAAACACGGTTGCGACCAACGATTGTTAGCATGAACTCTGCCACGTCCGCCTGCGAGAAGACAGGCCTGTGGAGGACTGCTGGCCGATTGCTTCAAGTGCTGAAGGCTTGGAGGATGCAGGCCGACACTGTCTCTTTCAATGCGGCAACGAGCGCTTGCGAAAAGGCGGCTGACTGGATGGCGGCTCTGGATCTGCTCTTGGAGATGAAGAGCTGCAGTATACGGCGAAGCAATATCACCTTTGGTGCCGTTGCAAGTGCCTGTGAGAAGTCGGAGCAGTGGCACTGGGCTGCGCAGCTTCTCCGGCGCATTAGGGAGGAGCGTCTGGAGCCGCACCTTACGCTCTGTAACGGACTCCTGAGTGCCTTTGGCAAAGGGGCCCAATGGAAGTCGAGCCTGTTCTTGCTAGCTCTCATGGCGAACTTTTTTTTGCAGCCAGACACCATCACCTTCAATGCTGCCCTGTATGCATGTGATCGAGAACAGTGGCTGTTCTCCATAGTCCTGCTGGACTGCATGGCCGTCTCGACGACCCGAAAGAACGACATCACCTACAATGCTGCTGCCGAATCGCTTACGGGCCATTGGCTGTGCGGGTTGGAATGTCTTGCGGACATGAGTGCTGCTAGGCTGGCTGCGGATGCCTTAACGCAGAGTGCGATCATTACTGCTTGCACCTCCGCCCAGCACTGTGAAGTTGCTGTTGACATGCTGACGCACATGGCGGATGCATGGATGAGTCGCGTGAGATTGGGAAATAGTTTGGGCCAGATTCCCACAAGCTTCCTCCTGTTGACATGTGCTGACTCCTTTGTGGCAAATTCCTAGGCTGCTGCCATTGGAAGCTTTGTCGTTGCCAGGTCCTCCGACAAGTCGAGACAAGGGGGTGGCATTCCATGAAGTGGAAGGCTGAATATCAGCATCTGTACTTAAGAGACATTGATCAGCCTCCCTTTTTCGTCCAAGACCAGTGCGTGCAGGAGGACTACACCATGTTGCACTGGGCTGCAAACAAAGGTCACAAGGACCGCCATGGCTTTCAAGAGACATGTCGAGGGGGCGATGGGTCGAGGGAAAGCGCCTTGTTGTTTCAGACACATCTTCTGAGGACCTCGCCCTGTACCTGATCAGCCTTAATGCCAATCCCAACGCCCTTGACAGCAAGGCACGCGTTGTGTAGTAGCCTCTTATAGAAGGTGCAGTTGCAAACAGTGCTACGAACTTCGAGCCCAAGACCCCAGCTGTTGGAATCCAAGCCCTTCGCCAGCGCCGCTCGCCGGCCGCCTGCGCCTCGGAAGCCGGCCACACGGACCTCGTCGCCCTGCTACAGGCCAAGGCAATCTCCTCTTTTTGCTGGAAAATTTTGCTGAAAGCATGAACCACGAAGGCTACTGCGAGGCTCCCTTGTGAGGCTCCCTTGCAGTGGGACGTCAAAATGCGTTGCGAAGGAAGCGATTCAGGGTGCAGGATACCCCAGAATCACGAACCAGCAGCCTGAGCGACTAAACCGACAGAACAGGGTCTGCCAGCTGCTCCTCCCCGGTTCCCCAGATTGGCTGTCAGCGCTCCAAGCGCGCCCACCCTGGTCCATGTTTCAGCTCCAGGGCCAGGACGCGGACTCTTTCGCCCCGACTGCGATCTCCCCAATGTCCATAAATGCATCGCGCCTTGCGCGAAACATCGAGAAGCTTCTGCTTGGGAGCCTTTGGAAAACGCTCGTTCGTGAGGTCAAGCTGTCATTTCGGACTTGTCTGGTTTCAAGTGCGCAAAGTTGAGTGAGGGTCGACAACGCGAGCTCCAAAACAAATTACAAAGAAGGATGCTGCTCGAGCGGGCGGAGTAGGGGCGGCTTTTGCCGGCTTGCACGTGCCTCTGGCACCAGTGAGCCCTTCCCCAACACACAAAGCAGATGCCCGCCACTCTTCACAAAAAATCTAAGCATGTAGGTAGATGCAGTAGACTCTACAGAAGCTCCGCCTCCGGGCCAGGCCACAGTCCCGCGGAAGTCCATCGGCTATGGGGCCTTTGGCGGTGGTTTCGAGACCGAGTGAGGTGGTCGCTGTGTGGTAAAGAGGGTTACATGGTTTTAGAGATGCGTGGTTTTTGGCTGTGGGGTCCCTCGACTTTGGGGCTTGTGCAGAGGTCTTCGGAAGTGCTGACCAGTAGAGCCGTGGTTGTTTTCCGCTGGTCGAAATTCTTGGCAGAAGCTTCCGAACTCTTGCAGCACCTGATCCCTGCTGCCAGCCATACCTGAGTCCACAGTGCTGTGGCTGCTGTCTGATCTGAGTGCAAAGCCGCTCGTGACAGTCAGATGGTGCTTTACTCTTCGCCTGGGCACAAGAGCCTGTGTGAATCACGCGCCGGCCGGCCCAGCTCTTATTCCGAGGCAGTGTGGCTCTGATTAGCCCAAGTGTCCCCTTTGCATTGAGAAGATGTCGGAGCCAAGTAGGGTAGCCGAGTAGGGTATCTGCAACGTGATCCCAAAGTGTATCCCAATGTTTTTCTTCGAAGAGGGAGACTGGATCCTCGGAGGAGTTTTTCTACGAGGCCCTGGCACGTCAACTGCACTGCTTTGGTGCATCGTTGCCTGCTGGCCCTGTATCTCTCCATTGGTTCACTGACAATGACATGGTGTAAATGCATTCCGGCAGTGCCCCCCGACTCTGCGAGTCAAAATGTCGAAAGTCGAAAGGTGCCAGAATGTCAGGTACACCCTGGTCACGCTGTTGTGAGATTATTGACATTATTGATGACTGACGATGAAAAATGACTCTGCCACAGCATCCTGGTGGTTCAAACCTTTGGGTATTCATGGTGGGCACTGATGGAGGAGGCAGGGTGGTTTTGTGGAACGCGATGGCAGCTGCAAGCCACTTTGAACAGCTTAGCACGTTACAAGTTCCAACGTTCATCAACAATGTTCGAGTATTCTTGCGACACGGAGGTCCTGGCTCTTCCGCATCGCAGCCGCTGCTGCCCTCTGTAAGCAGCGTGCAACCACTGAGGCTCTGCATTTCCAACCTATCCGGTTCACTTTCCCCAGCATACATTCGTACTGTATTTGTGGGTGACTCGATGCACCCCACCCCACACGACGACACGACGACAGACGCCGCACCTCTCTCTGCAGCCGGCAGCGGGCGAGTGCGGCAGAGCTCTGGGAGGCATCGGCTTGCCTTGTGGGGTCGTCATTAAAGGGACCTTGCAGGGACATTGCTTCTTTTTTTTGAGGCTACGCTGCGGCAGAAGCTGGGAACCCCTGGCCCTGCCCCACCGAGGGAGACACTGTGAATGCCCCAGGCTGCTAGTGAATGACGGGCGATTGGTGCAGCATGGATCAGCTGCCGAGGCCCAGTCTGTACGAACACCGCCCAGCTGTGGTGCGGAGTCTCAGGGCACATGTGCTGAGTTTGGGTGGGTTCTGGTGTAGTCTTTCTACGAGTGAAACGATGAGGCCTCCAAAGTGGCGCAATCTGCTCCGCCTTCTACAGTGGGACCGTCAGCGCACAGGTCTCAGAGACCTGAAGTTCCAACAATTCCGACAACCTCATGTTGTAATCTGCTGCAATGAGAAAGCTTCCTGTCCATGACCCCTTCTTGGATCCTATTGGCTAACCTGACTGGCCAGTCAGAAAGTCTCCTGGACACTGGCCCCTGGTGATCTGACCGAGGTCGGTCGTCGCATGGTTTGCCCAGTACCAGTGCAACAGTTGTGGCCACGTGCCAACCTCTCTTGCTTGGGACTTGGATGTGTCAACTTCACGCCAGCCGGATCCTACAACAAGGTGACCCCAAATCGTGACACAGGACGCCCGCTTTTGTCATCTCTGTGGGGAGCCACTGCCGCTTCCTCGTGTGCCCGCGGTGGCATGGCCCTCTGCCTTCGGCAACCAGGTACTCAGTGGGTAGGGCAACATAATGCACCCAGCGAAAGCTTCGCTCAATGTTGCAAGGTCACGGGCGAGGGCAGCCGCCTTGCAGTCAACCTCGGGGAGGCCGCGTTTTCCATCGTTGCTATTGGCCAGCAAGTTGCCGACGGTGAGAAGAGAAAAGTACTGTGTTGATCCAGATGCGCTTGTTGATCCTTTGTGCCATCCCCTTCCCTGATGGCAGGTGGCCGCAGCTGCTGCGCTGGAAGCCCTCCGGCAAGAAGCAGGCACTGCTGACAGGGATGCGGCTTGCGGTGGCTGTCCGGCCTTCGATCAGAAGATCAAGCGGTTGTGCACACCGAGGAGGCGGCGGCGGTGGCGGCGGTGGCGGCAGCATGGGCAGTCACCTGGCCGTGCGCTCCGAGCCAAACCTCCGTGCACCACAACAGCCACAGCGGCCACAGCGGCCACAGCGGCCACAGCGGCCCGCGGTGGCAGAGGCTGGGAATCCCGGGGATCCCACCCCGAACCCCAAACTGTACGACTAAACTTCTGAAAGTCTGAGCAATCTTCCTGTCAGGAGAGGCCCAAGGCCCCGCCAGCGTGCTCCACAGCAGCTTCTCTGCAGTGGGTTGCACTCGATGGAGGTTTGCCTGGTGCCAGTTGGGCCATCCTGCATCACATGGAGCTGCTGCGCATTGAGAACATATTTTCTTGCCGAGGGGAAGTATGAGGGCCCCCCGAAGTGCCGTAAGCATCGAGGCCAGCAGCTTAAGCTGCGGGACCATTCTCGGGGTCTGTCGATGCTTTGCTCAACGGTTCTGGGATGCTGGTGCCTTTGTCCTTTGCAGATGGTGGCAAGCGGCTGCTACAAGCCCCAGGCCTTCGAGTGCTTGCACGCTCCATCGCCAGTCCGCCTGTGCTCTAAACAGCGCTTTCTTCTGATAAGGCTGGCTGCCAAGGGTAAGGCTGTGACTGTGATGCCTATGCAGGCCGGCCGCTGCCGGGGCGGCCGAAAGACCTGCCGTGAGCTCCTCTGCATGTCATTGCACGGTTTCTTGGTTTTTTGCTCGGCTTGTCGTGTTTGTGCCGTGTGAGGTGGGGCACCAGAGAAAGCCAGGCGGGCATGTCACAGAAACAGCGTCAGCACAGCAATCACAGCAGAAATTTCATCACCGCGAAAGGGGCATCGGCGACGTGGAAGTTTGCGGGGGGCTGGCGCGCATGGTTGCGTACGCGATTCCATGGTTGGTCACCCGATGCATCCGAGCGCGTGTCGAGGGCTAGATCAAAACTTCAGCCTGGCCTGTGAAGTCTAACAACACGAAGAACAAAAGACTCTGAAGACATTTCACACTCATCTCGAATCTCTTTTCGTTGGTTTATTGGCAGCAGCAAGAACGGAGCTCGGTGCCAGTCGGAAGGAAATAAAGTAGAGGGTGTTAGCATGTTTTAGCCGCGCAAACGTCTGCTGCAGTGTCTGTCAAGAGATCGCAAGCTGAAGCATTCCTCCCACATCCGCGAGCCACTCAATTGGCAAATCCAGGCCCGAGCGCAAGCACGACAGCACGGCGCGCGCCCGCGAAGGATTTCCCTGTGCGCTTGCGCTACATTTGGCCGGGGTCGCGGATTTTAAGCGCCTAAGCTTTCTATTGCTTAAAGAGCCCATGATGCTCATGACATGCAAATTTGTCCAGGTGGCGCATTGGCTAGATAATATTCGGCCGAGGCGGCCATGATCTAAGAAGTCCAATTCTCAGAGCAGTTCATCGTGAGAGTAACTGAGAAAACTTGCCTTCGTCAAACTCATGAGACTTCCCCTCCCCCCCCCTGCCCCCGATGCATGCTACGTGCATGCTGAGGCTTCGAGAAGCTGAGTTTCACGACAGCACGCCCCATGGAATTTGGTCCCAGTTAACGTATAGCCTTAGCTTGCAGTTGTGGGCTAGTGAACCACACACCCTTTTTCGGGTGAGGTGAGGATACAGGATCCTTTGGCGGTTCACGCAGAGCACTTGCAACTGCCACGTGAGCTATGAGTCGATCCTGCGCGATTCGCAGAAATTTACCGCAGATGCCCCCGTGCCTGTTACTTGCAGCCGAAAGCATGCAATCCAGGCCAGTGTTAGGATGCCAGGCATTCTGTAGCAGCACATTTTAGCACGAAGTCGCTTTCCGACAGTTGCACTCAGGCAAGAAGCGTTGTAGCTGGGCCAGGCTAGGATAAAGAGTTCATCGCTGGGCAGTTGCTAACATCGTTGCCGCAGCTCCTGTTGGCTCAAAAGGGTCCACGGCTGTTTTGGCGCGAGACTCTCAGTGGAAGTGTTTTATGTGTTGTTTTGACCAGCGAAGGAGCAGCACGTGTTTGGTATGTTCTCGGAAGAAAAGCTGCCTGTCAAGTTGGAATAAGAAAAAGCCCATGCCTGTCAACGTAATGCTCCGGAATCCCTAGTAGCTGCTGACCCACCGACTGAACAAATTAGTGCACAGTGCACAGGTTGCGGGGGCAGCCACGTGTCATAAGATATTCTACACGCTTGGTCAGCCAGAGCCGCTATACCTATGCATCTGGAACTCTCGCACTCTCGGAACACTTCCTGCATCAAACCCTCGTTGAACTTGAGGCGTGGGCTCTCATGGCTGCAGGGCTGTTCAGGCGCCTCCGCAACTTAGAGTTGGGTTTGGGAGAGTCCAAGCCGGCAAGTACACTGGACGAGCAAGAAACCTGAAGCGACAGGCCCACGATGGCCGGCCGAAAAAGCGCAGCCGCGCTGCTACTCGGCCTGTAACGAAGCCTCAAGTGTTGAAGCTGTACCGTATTGCGATCGCTGCATGCCAGCATGCCAGTACAACTCACAGCAACGGGCTGTGGCCTTATGCCAGGATTCTCCTTCCATGTGCCCTTCTGATTTTCGGCTTCGCTTGGGGATCTTCGGCCGCCTTCCTGAGCGTCGTGGCCTCGGCACCTGCATGTGGGTGCATTCTTTGCTTATTTACCCCCGGCAAGCGGGGTTGTTCGATTTTAGGATCAAGTGGCATGCATCATATGAGGCGACGTGCTCAAGACAGCAAGCAGTTACAGTTCTCAGGCAGTACCAGAAGCATTGGAGCCCGAAATGTGAATTGGAATATCAGAAGGATTGAGCTCTCAATCTCTTAATCCTGCTGGTTGGAGTATGTTGTCCTCTATGGAGAACGCAGCAAACCCTCCTGAACTTCCCATAAAACTACTTTCCTTGACTCCACCAAGCTCAAATGTTGCCTCAAACCCAACCTTGCGCTCAAGACATATTCCATCGGACCAGAAGTTTTGGAACTGGCGTGGGCATGGAAAGCAGCAGCAAAGTGTTCCCTTCCCAGCACTGCAACTTGAAATCCTTGCAGCCCGGTTTTCGGGACAGGGTGGGGATGTTCGATGTGGTACTTTTCTCGGAAAGATGTGTTCTCGGAGTATCCGCGGTGCCGCCCCATAACTTCGTGAGAATGTGGTGGGGCCTGTGAGCCATACTCGTAGCTCTGTCCATTGCTTGAATTCTCTCCTTGGCCGCTGTTTGCCCTCTTTTTCTGCCACAGGCCTCTCCTACCCGCAGCTCGCTCCGTGGGCCGAAAGAGCTGCGCCGAGCGAATGAGCCAAGGCCTTGCGGCGGGAGAGGTAGAATATCATCTAGAAGCCCTACTAGAAGGCCTTTTTGGGTTTGGCACTGGCCACTGAAGCCCGGAGACAGCCGAAAACAGTAGCTGTCATATTATGTTTGTTGATGCCTTTCTGGAAGTAGTCCGGTGTCCCCATATTGCTATTCACATGTTTTGATTCTTGACCTCTACACTGCGTTCTTGAGGCATTGTCTTCATCGTGGTTTCCGGTGGTGGAAATAGGGATTCTTACAAATATTGGTGAGTGCTGATACAGCTCCCACATCATATACGTATGCTCCTGTTGCTAAGTTGCCATCGAGGCTGGCGCTGTACTGAAATCGATGGTGGTTGTAGTGGCGCTTGCGCTCGCACGCGAGTTGCGAGCGTAGCAGAATGTTGTCAGAAACGGAGGGAAAGAAGGCCCCGTGCTGGCAACTTCCAGTCTGCCTCAACAGCTCTGGCTGCAGGGCATCTGCCATGTGCGGTGCTGCGCCGCTTGCGGAACTCTCAGATCCTAGAGCGCTGTGTCAGCTCTGCTTTTTTTGTCAACAGAGGCTCTTGTGTAGCTATGCGGTAGCTTTGGAACAGTCCCGGCCTTGGTCACTTCAGGTTGGCCTCGCGGCAGCAGTGGGCTGCGTGGCCGCAGCCAGGGGCTCGACGTTGTATCCCACTTGTCATGAACTTATTCTCGCTTGTCATCTGCCACCGTTTCATTGTGCTTGGCGTAGATTCCCTAGCCGCACTGCTGCAAGGCGCGCAGCACTGTGCAGCGGCGGTATACTGGCAGCTACAACTTGGACGGGGCTCTTGCTGCTTTGTAAATGCGAGTGGAGTATCGTGATGCCGATGGAGTTCTTGGTTGGCGTTAAGAACTGTTGCTCCATTGTAAGCCAGATTCGTGTCTTTGCGCTGAGTGGCAAAAAGGACCCCTTCATGGAAAGCGGGGAGCCCACCCGGATGACGGAGGAGGAGCAGGACCGACTAATGCGCGACATTTTGATCTTGTTGTGCCTGAGCTGATGCCCAATGACGAACATTCGATTGATGTGTCTGCTCGATGGTTTTACGATGCGGTGTGACCGATCGTTCGGCGCTCCTCTCTGCCGTACATCTGGTTCTGTTTGTCCTATGCGCTGTTGTCGTAGTGTTTTCCAGGATAGGCAGTTCAGGGTGAAGTCGATGGGTTTCCACTTCGCCCAGAGTCCTGCTCAAACAAGCTTTATACTTGTACTTCAGTCGCGGTCCCGACGCCAAGAAGCACACTGTGGGCCGATCGGAGTTTCTGAGGGCTTAGGGCTAAGTCTAAGAAGGGATTGCTGGCAAGAGGTCGCTGCGCCGAACAACATGGGCCTCGGAATACAACTGTCTGTCAGGCCGAGTGGCTCGAGAAGAAGACTGCTGAGCTTGAGGAGATCATGCCCATGACGGACATTGAGTTCGAGGATATGGCATCTTGGCTGCACGTCTGAGCGGAATACTCCGGAAAAGTCGCTCTCGTAAGACGGGGAACGTCTTCGTATGGTTTCTTCACGGCCTTCATGGATCTTCATGGTGCGTGGCGGGGCTTCGCTTGGCAGCTACTGGGACCTCTCTACGCCTCGAAGTATCTCAGTGCTGCCCTGCTGATACTCTGCTCACACTCATTCCGAGGTTGCAGAGCAGACCTGGCAGTGACTTGGCTGTGAGAGAGTGCGTTTCCGAGGTGTCGGAGGCTATAGGCAGTAAGTCTACGTGCCGACAGTACTGCTTGGAGCATTTTGTAGCCACCTGCAAGCATCTGTTGTCTCGTGCATCGTGGGAAGGTGGGCACGCCACTTGCTCCCCTTCCAGGAGCCAAAAGTCTGTGTATATGATTCCGGGCACAGGGTTTCAAGGACGTGTCAGTGTTGTCTCAGACCTTGCTTGAAGGACAGACGGCGACACGAAATTGCCGCGTACAAACGCCAATGCGTTCTGAAGCAGTGCTGCCAGCATGCTGTTTCGGGCAGTTTCAATGAATTCAGTTTCCAGATGCACGTGCTTCAAGCCCGGTCTTGTTCTCATGCATGGCCTCCTGCATAACTGCCTTGACTCTCCTACCGGAAGAGCATCCTGGTATGGAGATGTCTAAGCCAACAAGTTCCAATCACAGCGCGGCAGGCCAGAGCTCTTCAAGAAGCTGCGCTTGTGGCATCCGCTTGCTTTGAAATACCCCTCGCTCCTCAAGAGGTGCCCACATGGTCGAGGAAACAAGATGGACCCAATGGCTTCCACCAGTCGACGATTTAAGAGCTGTCAAGATGGAGTTGGGGTGAAGTTATGCGATGCATGCGACTGAGCGGGTGTAATGTTCTCCAGATGATCTCTGAAAATCTCAGCCTGAGTCGCCATAAATCGGTGGTTGAGTTTTCAAGCTCCACTGACCCTGTCCAAGCAATCCATTTCAGCAGGTATGACAACCTGGGGCCCTCAGACCTCGAGAACCGCGACTTAAAGATCGACGTGGAGTCTGCCTCTTAGATACACTCGCAGCACGGACGTAGCATGAACATAGCACAGACAGAGTTTGGGCATCCCATGCCTCTTTATCTCCAATGTCTTTCTCTGTCTTGATCGATCTTGCTGAGGTTCCTGGCCAATGTAGAGAAGGTTGCCGGCTTCACCTATCGGGACAATGCCCGTGAGCAGCGGTCTGTCGATCTTCAGCGACGGGCTCCCGAACTGTAAACTTTTGCCCTGAACCCTGGTGTCACTTGACTCCGCCAAGCACTGCCTGTTGCGTTCCTTGCCAGCTGTGGCTTCAGGCGCCATGAACAGCCCAAGTCCAGGAATATCTCATGCGGTTCCAGGATGTGGTTCTTCAGCTTTAGCCCTGTAGCCTTGGGCTGCCAAGCTGTGTGTCTATAGAAGATGCCAAGCCTTGAGCCCCTGCGCACTGCTCGCAAGCGCCATCCCAAGCCCTACAAGAACCCCAAAGCCAGAACAAAAAAGCAAAACGCCTTCGCTTTAGTGCCGGCGCGCCCTGCGGCTGATGGAGCCTCGCCCGCCGCAGCATGCCGTTGCTGGGACCGGCATCAGGGTTCAGGGCTTCGTGTAAGGCATCCGTAGGACCTCACGGGCCGATCCCTAAGGCAAAGCAGTGCAGGTAGAAAAATCAGTCGAAAGGGAGTGATTTTCGCCACCTCGCATGGCAAGGTGGGAACTGACCGTTCATGCTAGACTCTGCCAATGCCAATGCTAGAACGATGAACAATTCCAACATGTGCTCTTGTGTTGCGACAAGGTTTGGACAGGGTGCCTTTGCAGGTGCAGTTTCTGCCGGGGGCCTCGGAAGGTTCCAGAGGGCGGGACTGAGCATGTAGCAAAGTAGTAGCAAAGTTGCGAAGCTTGGGATGTCGAAATTCAAGGATTCTGTTTGACTTTCCGGAGTAGTTCAATTCCTTCACCTAGGACCTTTGCATTTTCAACACCTCCGAGCCTCTCAATGCCCCTCACACGTGTCAGGCTCCATAGCTAATGCAGAATCAGGGGCTTGGAGGTCACTTGGGAGGTGTCTCAAAGCAGCACTGCCGTCCTTTTTTCAACCTACTGAGTCCATCTCAGTCCCCCACACCCGCTTTTCTGATGCAGACTCAGGGTGTTCGTGTTAGGGGCTTGTTGACCAGCAGCTGAATCTCCCGATTCTCGACTAGAAGCGGCACTGGGGACCGTGTTGAGTGGTGGAGTTCCAGACCTCTGACCTTTTCGTCCAAAGGCTTCAGGAACACCAGCACTGTACATCTTGCAGACTGTTTGTACTAGATGCTGTCAAACTCAGCATCGCTGGGCATCTAAGTAGCAGCAGCAGCCGACAAAATTAAGAGTCCAGAGCAATGTTTGTTTCGACCGAGGCATCGCCCTTTGCAGCGGCGGGTGCGTCGCCATTTGCAGGCTGCTCCTTTATGTGGGACGAGTCATACAATGCTCACGGACACAGCGTAGTCGCCTGCAGCAGCATTAAGGCGCCTCTCTTCCTCTTGTTGCTCTCTCTCTCTCTCTCTCTCTCTTCTCTCTCTTTCTCTGTGTCTCCCCCTCTCTCCCTCTCTCGTTGGCTTTCCCTCGCCCTTTGTGCTTTTGTGTGCGATGGTCCCAGCGCTCGATGTGGCAGGTAGTGCATCCTCTCCGTTTGCTTCGACACCCCAAGGAGGGCCCTCGCCCTTTGGCGGGGGTGGTGCTTCGGTGTCACCCTTTGGTGGTGGCGGTGGTGGTTGTGGGGGCGCTAGTGCCTCGCCTTTCTCAGGAGGGCCCAGTGTTTCGCCCTTTGCAGCTGGTGCGCCTTCTCCGCCAGCAAATGCTACGGGGACAGCGTTGCAAAGGTCAGCCTCGCCATTTGGCCAGAACGCATCCCCATTTGCAGGCAACTCTGCCGCTGCGGGAGCGCAAGGAAACGTTGCTGCTTCACCATTTGGTGGAAACCCTGGAGGGGTGTCGCCATCACCCTTTGGGTCCCAGGCGAGTGCTCCTTCTCCGTTCTCGGGCGCACAGGCGAACGTAGGCTCCACTCCGTTGGCAAATGTCGGAGCACAAAGAAGCCCATCACCCTTCGGAGCGAACCCTAGCCCGGCCAGTGCCACACCTTTCGGAGCTGGTGCGGGTGCATCGCCTTTCGCGGCAGCACCTTGCACTGCCTCACCATTTGCCAGCTCCGCGGGTACTCCGCCCTTTGGAGGCCAGCCACCTGCTCCCACCTCTACCAACGCTGCAAGCCCTTCACCGTTTGGTGCCAATCAGGGTGGTGTCAGCGCGGCATCCCCTTTCGGCGGCATTCAGGCAGCCAGCTGCACCAGTTCAACTTTTGGCACAACTCTGTCGGGCGCATCGCCTTTTGCGCCAACCGCCCAATCACCTGCCAGTGGTGCCCAGATTTCACCAGCATCTCCTTTTGCAAGTGGTCAGACAGTTGCCAATACGGCCTCGCCCTTTTCATCTGCAGTGCAAGGTGGTGCCAGCACACCACCGTTCGGCACATCACCAACGCCAACAGGTGCCACAGCATCTCCCTTCGCCGCTGGTCAGGCTGGCAGCTCGCCATTCGCGAAGGCCGCTGCGCCTCCTGTGGCCAAGGCAGGGCCGAGAGAAAGCGAACAACTTCGTGGTGATAGACTGTGTGCCATGCTGTGCGATGTTGGCCTGTCACCTCCTTGAGTATCGGGGCTGACAGTTATCTGTTGCACAGCACTCTGAACCATTTGCAGCAGGCCTGCGCTGCGTCGAAAGATGCGAAGGACGCCGAATGCTTCTGCATAGCGCTGTTGCCTAGAACTTATGGAGGTTCTGTTTTCGAGTGGGCGCATCGTGTTTGTTCATCTTGTCGGTCGCTGTCATTCATGCCATCATTTGTGTGCAGGGGCTTAGAGTCTAGAAGGTGTTGAGGTATGCGGGCTGCTTGCCAGTGAAGTCAGCTGCTCTGGACTAGTCGGTACTTTAGTCTCAGTGACGTTTGGGGATTTGGAGGAGGTGCTGCCAGAGCTCCTGCGAAAGGTTGACTGGCAGCTGACCAGCTTCGGCATGGACAATCACGCGACTTCGATACAGCAGTGGTGATTGGACCTAGATGTGAGCATTCCCGGCAGTCTGGCTTCCTTTTCAACGTCTTCTGTTGAACGCAGTTGAAAGTGTAGAGGAGCCGAACTGTAGCCCACGACCCTTCGACCACGTTCAACGGGCGCCGCTGCAAGTTTGCAATCCCCAGACAGCGCGGCTTACAAGAGCAACTATGAAGAGAGCTCAACAAGTCCTCCAATACCCTCCCACCACAGTGTCTCTCGCATTCAGGGACCTGCCTCGAGCCCATGCACAATAGCTAGCCATGAAACTCAGCAAATCCTCGAAACATCCCAAACCGAGAACTAACCCTTCAACGCCAGATTCTACTGCGGATGTATACAGGTCTGCCACATGAAGGTTCCGCCACTTGCCACTCCAGGCCTCCGCTGTCACCAACGACACCTCCTTGGAGGAGACGTTCGGGAGGTGGAGAGGCATGAGATGGCATGAGTATGATTGTGATATGATTGTGATATATTGTGATTCTGCACGTGCTCTGAAGAAATGACGTGCAAGGAACGCAGATGCCGGGTTTCAGCAACCTTTTCCTGCCACATGTCTACGGTGATTTTGTTACCAAGAGTATTGATGAATGGCCCAGTTCTTGGACCTTGAGGCATTCGCATTTCTCGCATTTGGTTGTTGGTTGGATTCACGGCTGTTTTTCAAGAGGAGCATCGCTGGATGATGCTGCAGAAGCCACGTGGGGAGTGGGACCATCTCTCTGCCAAGCTTCTCAATGAGAGCAAGAGCAAGTTCGACACCTACCTCTCCAGTTCTGGCGATGCTGTGCCCGCATCACAGGCACAGGGAAGTGGAGGGCTCATGGCTCATGATGGGATCCGTTGACAGGAATCCACAAGACACTTCAAGAATATTATTTTCAAAGCACTTGCCGCAGTCGCATCAGTCGCATGCTGCAGCGGTGATGAATGGCTGCAGGACATGGCCAGTGCTTCCACTCGCACGCCTTCGCCATTCGGGGATGCATCGCGGAGCTCATCACCCTTCGGCGCGGCTTCTGCATCTGCGGCGTCTGTGTCTGCAGCGGCCTCGCCCTTCGGCACCGCACCTGCATCTGCGGCCTCTCCTTTCGGGGCATGTGGAACCTCTCCTTTCGGCACCGCAGCCGGGGCATCCCCGTTTGGGGGCATGCAGGCCACAGGATTCGAAGCTAAGTCAAGCGATTCAATGGGGGTGTAGTCCTTGCTGGTCGGAAGCACGCCCTGCGCAGAATCGCAGCGCCTCGCCGGGGCCTTCGGGCACCACCTCGCCCTTTGCCCCACGGAGCGCTTCGCCCTTCGCCAGCTCTGGCCAGGCGTGGTTTGTACGCGTTTCGAGAGGGATCTGGAAACTCCACTTGCCCAGTGATTCTAGCTTCATGTGATGGGGATGCAGGTCACGCCTACATCGCCTTTCGCTCCGCTGCCTGGGCCAAACAGACATCCAGCTGACCCTTTTAAGCCCAACCCCCAATGCCAAGTCCGCAGTGTGTATCCTTAACATCCTTAACCCGCCCACATCCTTGCAAGTGCGCAAAATTCAGAGGGTGCACAGCGCAAGTCTCAGGCTCTGATCCGAAAAGGGTGGGGCCGCTCAACTTGGTAGATTTGGTAGGAGTTTCCGAATCTGCCCAGGTCGTACATGGCCGCGGCTGCTTCAGGGCCCTATGATGCGGTGGGCCCTTGAAGCGCTGTGCGTTCTAGCTGCAGGGCCTATAGTCTATGGAGGGTTCAGGGGAAGGTTTGGATGCCAGCTTCTTTCCGAGGTCTCAGGTGTCGACGCATGTCTGAGTTTTGCCCGAGAGTGTCATTGCCAGGGGGTGCACTTCGGCTTGCCGCCGCTGAAGATGAGGTGCGGCGAAAGCATAGCAAGTAGCAGCACGACTCCAGCAGTTCTGACCTAGCTGGTGCTTGAGGTAGAGAGAGGTAGGCATCACAGAAAGTATTTCGAAACAGGGGTTTCTAAGCACAAATTAGTGTTGGATCTTCAAAGCGTGATTACCCACTTAGGCTCCATGAGGAGACTGAGTTGGCCGAGCAGGAGCTGCCCGAGAGCTTGCGCATCAAGGTAACACCAGTAACATCTCTCATGACAGTGAAGGCACGAGAAGACAGAGTCTCACACCTTCTTCTGACCTGCCGCATCATCGCATCGAAGCCCTGGTATCCACGATCGCTGGCAGTACATAAGCCCGAAAGAAACATCTTCACTTACTCCGGCAAGCGCGCTGACAAAGTGCCAGGACCTGAAGGCGTTTCAGGCACCTGCCTTTGAGTCCCAGAAGATTCCGGAGGCGTGAAGCTACTTCTACTGCCTCTCAGATGGCTTGTGAGGGGGCGGGGGTCGAGTGTAGGAGAGCTTTGCACGAAAGACTGCTTTTGCGGTGTTTTCCGTCTGCTTGCGACTGGCATGTTCCCGGGTCGAGCGCGTGCTGTTTCAGATCTAACATGACATGTTGCTCCGCAGTGGGTCCACAGGCCCAAACCTGAGCACATCTCGGACAAAGATGGTGCTTCAAGAGAATGACATCCTGAACAACTCCTCTTTGCCACGTGGAGCAAGCTTCCTCTTCTCCACCTCCTCAACACTGCCCGAAAATTTGAATCCGAGAGCCTAAGCCTCATCCCGGCCCAGAATCCACAACCCCGAGACCATCTCAAAGCTTTACCCCTCTACTCGCCAAACCCTGAACCCTGAGATGTGGAACCTTGAACCCAAATCTCTACACCCTGAAGCACAAAGCCCCGAACTCTGCATCCTATGACCTTAAAAAAACCATGGCGTCTAAGCCTTATAACCCCCACCCCCTCAAGCTTCAAAATTGGAACTCGTTACTTCCGCTTCCGCTGGAAAGTACTTGGCACAATCCGCCAGGTCGAACCTCCGCCATCAGTGTGTTGAAGATCTTGCCACTTGCTGCGTGGGATCTGGCAAAGCACGGCTTGCGGCCAGCACGGAAAACATGCAACGTGAATTGCACTACCAGAGCAAGTTGGACACAGACTGCCCATGAGTCATCGTCGGCATCTCACAGTTCTGCATCCGAACAGCATTGCAGGATTTCCTCGAGGAGACAGCCGGAAACAAGTTCACCAACGAAGGGTGGGCCGGTCCCTTACGTGGTGGCCAGTTCGTTTCAATTGTGCTGCCCAACATCGCTATACTGCATCTGTTGGAGCTTCCAGGGTCTTCTGTCGAGAGGTCGCCCCTGAGATTGGCGATGTGGTCACTGGTACAGTGGCATATCTCGGCGAGGTGGGCCGGGGAAAGGGGGGGGGGAAGGGGAGGGGACTCCATGGAATTCATATGGACCCAAGTCGGTCAGGATGGTGCCTTTGTGGAGCTCGACTGTGGTGGTGTGAAGAGCTGGGCGCAGCTTCCCACAAAGTGCCCCCCAAAGGGTCGTCCGGACATAGGGAGAGAAAGGAGTCCGTCGCAGTCGGAGTGAAGCCAACCGGGGAACAGTCCACCACTGGAAGGTGGGAAGGGGTCAGAGATCACTCTGGAAATCCTTCGGCTTTTCTTGAGTATGGGCAGCAGTGTATGTGATTCGGCGACAGTTGAAGGAGATGAACTTCCCGGGCGAAGCAAAGAACGAGAGCAAGAGAGAAAGACATAAAGAAAGAAACTATACAGAACAGAAACACAGGACTACGCATCTTCGGTCTCGAAACTACCCTGGTCCCGACCCCTAGCCTGCTAAAAAGAAAAAGAAGAAGCAGAAGCAGAAGAAGCGAGAAAGACATAAACAGCTTAATGAACAAATAACCGCAGTAAGAAAGAGCGAACGAGGATGTTGGGAGGGGTGGTCAAGATGAGCCTTTGGGAGATTGGTGGCTCGAAACATCTCGAAACTCAGAGCTTCCAGGAGACCAGGTCAAGCAACAAACGGAATGTGCTTCGCACCAAGAGTCAGGCAACTGGAGACAAAGTACTGGCTAGACTAGCCCATCTAGCACCTCTTTAGATCGCTCTACATTCGCTGCAGCTGCGGTGCACAATGGCCGGGCACGGGTGATTCGTGTTACCGAGGGGATGTACCTAAAGTCTGTGCTGATGCAAAGGCAAGACAAACCATAATGGAGTGTTTGCTGATGTTCAGAAGGTGCTGTGAAGCGTCTTGAAGTCGTTTCCAGGTACGCTTCCCTCAAGCCGATTGCCAGCGTGTCGGAGGCACGTTTCGGGTGCTTGGAAGCCTGCAGAGTCACTGGAAACCACGCAGACAGAGGCAGACAGAGGCAGTTTGCTCAAGAAAGTCGTGGCAGGTCGACCTAGAGGTGGGTGCCAAGATTGAGGCGGTTATTGTGGAAAAAGGCCCTGATCGGCCGTCGCTGGTTATCCTCTCTCATGCGTGCGAAGCAAGGGAACCGTAGATCTTGCCTGCGCTGGAGATCTGACCTCCGTGGTACTCGGCGACAAGACTGCCGTCCAGTACATCGTGTGTCTTGCCTGGGACGACAAAAGCTTGTGCAGCATGTTTCAAGCAGTTTGCACCGAGGGTGAGGGCGAGAAATGACTCAAGCCAACTAGGTGCCAACCCTCGGAACACACGAAACGAACGTGCCAGCAGATGCAAGTTTTTTGGGTGACATCCACCAAACCCAAAGCCCAGCAAAGCCAAAGCTCCCAAGTTTAACAGCGCTCTTCAACAAATTCAACAAGCTACAGCTGGGCTGCGTGCAGTCGCAACCATGGAGTCACCGCAATTGTGGAGCAGAGGTCCCTTTCCAGCATCCAGTTGGACGTGGCATGGGACAAGGCTGATAAGGGAAGGGGGGGCCATGCTGAGCCAGGATTGCATTCGATTGTATCATATTGTCGTACTGTATCTGTGAGACTCGGCCGATATCGCTTCGGTTGGCATGACTGTCGGGTCGTGTGAGGTGCTTCGCTCATACAACGGCGAGGAAGGCGTGCGTGATCACCGTGCGACCTTGTCCGACTTTCGACCTGTCGCTCGGGTTCCTTTCTTTCCTGTTGGAGCCGGTCAGGCGCTGATCCTTACTGGGATGTTCAAGTGCTTCAGATGGCGTCATGGCCCTAAGCAGAATCGCTGTGCGTCCCGGCTTGAGGCTTGTTGTGCTGTGGCGGAGTCCAGCCCCATGCCCTTGAGCTGCTCAGGACCTGGGGAGCCCAAGTGATGACGGAGGACATCGCTGATGTTCGTGGCAGTTCCCCCCCCGCCCCAATCCCCCCTTTCCGCCGAATGTCGCCTTCCAATACGAATATCCAGCAATGTGACTTGGAGCATAAGAGAACGGGAAGCAGGAAACTTGGCCTCAGGTCAAACAAAAGCGCGCCGACAGCGGCAAGGGGAGGATTCCAACTCCAACTGGTGGATGCGTGGAAGGCTCAGAGAAAACGAGGAGCAAGGAGCAGGCAAAGCAACAACACCATGGAGTGGCAAAGTTGGCCTGTGCAGCTCAAAGCAGAGGCTGCTAACGTCGCCGAAGCCGGTGCAAAGAGCGATCGGGAGAAGCAAATGCGACAAACAGACGCGAATCCCACTGACGTTTTCGAGGTCAAGGCGCCCAGACTGTCAGGAATCAATGGCCGTCGAGCCCTTGTGCCGAGTCGCAACTCAATGTCTCGAAAGACAAGCATTGTTTCGGATCAACGGGCTTCCCTGCTTCCCGTGAGTACCGCCATGGTTAGCGACAAAAAAGTGAAGTTCAATGGGCTGCCGCGTGGCCATGAACCCATTTTTGTGATGAATTGTGAATCGTGAGTCCTGTACCTGACGACCTTGCTTCTCTGTCGCCAATGGCCAGACAGCAATCGTGAAGGAACAGCTCAACTCCCTTTTCTACTTCAAATTGCCTTCTCCATTCGGATTCCTCAAGCAGTTTGACAGGGTCCGTACTGAACACAAACTGAAGAAGCAACATGAGCAGTGCTGGCAGCTCATAGAGCAAGTGCAGTAGTATTGTCAGTTTGCACGCAAGGTTCGACCATTTTCCAGAGGAGGGCATGTCGTGCAAACCTTCTGGCTCTTTTCGTTGCTAATCGCAGACACGACCAGTACTTGCTGTGTGTTCCGCAGGCTTAAAGTGCACTTCCTCAGATACTTCGGGAAAGTTTGTATGACTCAGAAGGCACTTAGCACAGGGCCACGCGAGGTGCCAAGTCCGACAAGGGCCTCCAGCTTCATGCGTGAGCGCACAGCAAAACCGCCAGTAACTAGCTGCATCCCTTCTTTGCAGGAAGGCTTGATTGGCATGATTCCGGCCCGTGATCTGGGGGAAAAGGCCACCTTGTGACAGTCGTCGGCAGGGATGTTTTGGGTCAGACAATGCAGGAATGCGCGTGTTTCTTGAGCACAGATTTTCGTAGGCTGGAGATCCGTCCATGGTGGGCGCTCTGTTGAAAGTGCGGATTAGTGCTATCCAGTGAGGGCCTCAGGACTAGACCAGTGCGAGCCCATTAGAACGCCAAATGCGGTGGTCCTTTCTGTGACGAGTCGTAACTGTCGCTCTGCCTCGTGCTTTGCATCGCGTTGTGTGGGGACCTGCGCAGGGAAGACAAAAAGGAGATTACCAATCCTCAGGCGGTGCTTGTGGAACCAGACATGCCAGTTTATTGTGAGCAATGTGGCATAGTGCTTACAGCAGTGTGGAGTGTCATTTGTCGTATTTTCAGTTTCGCAACCAGGTGTAACCATTCAGCGTTGCTTGTGTACCAGACTTCTGTGTCTCCCATCTAGGAAGCTCGTTCTTAGTCAGGATGGCTTTGTCGGCTCCTACAGTAGAGACCCCTGAAGTGCGGTGCCTTGCTGGTCATGTCTTGTGGCCATCGCATTGTCACGCTAGCTCTTGTGCTCACTGTTATGAAGCTCAGCTTCAATCGCTAAGCAGGGTGCTGGCGGAAGCCAGGCCCGAATCAAATTTGAGTGCCTGCAGATGGTCGCCGACTACCCTATCATTTTCTCGTACGCCAGCGTCATGAAGCAGGCAGGCATCGCGTGAACGGTGAGCAGGACTCTTTTCCGTTGCAGTCACACAGACCAGTATTTGTCCCGGAAAGCCGTTTGTTTTAACCCTTTAATCTTGCATGTTCGTTCTTCTCACGTGTCAAGTACCGCATACATACTGCAACGGCTACCTAAGCATTGATCATCTTAAGCTTCCAACACAAATCAAATTTTCAAGCCGGTCCGCGCAGACGGAGAATACCCTATTCCACGGGCAGGCCTCTTTTAAAGAAGATCAACGGGCCCACAGCCCACAGGCCCACGGGCCCACAGGCCCACGGGCGCACGGGCCCGCGGGCCTATGGGCCCACGGGCCCATGGACCCACAGCGCAGGATTGCAACATGGGTACTGTCAATTACTTCGCTCTAAGCTATCCTAACCACCAAAAAAGCTTTGCTGCCGGTTTGATCCCGCTCCCCACCTTGTCCTCGAGCATTCTCAAACTGTCCCATAGGTCGTTTGAGAAGTCTCGAGAACTCCTCAAACCCTATCCCGAACACCCCAACTTAGGAAGCATTTGGGCTTAGGGAGTCAATCGGGTTCAGAGGTGCAGTTGCGGTGATTAGAGCTTGAAAGAAGGTGTTTAGATTTTACTGTTTTTCGGGCTGTAGTTTTTTTTGTGATGTAGTAGGGTCCGGGAGACAATGTTCCACATCGTGAGGTGTGCCGGAGTGAATCAAAGCGCCCGGAGTTGCGGGTTTAAGGTTAGGTCCAGGTTTGAGAACAGGGGTTTACGACCTTGAATTTTGGGTTTGCGTGCTTTAGGGTTCTTTGGATTTCAGGACTGCGTACTTCAAGGGGTTCGGGCTTTGTTTCAAGATGTAGTATTTCAAGGTCTTGGGCCCCTTGGGCCTACAAAGTGTTCCTGATTCCGAGTGGTGCATAGCTACAACATGTTCACGGTTACGGGTTTTGCTCGTGGGGGTGCG